CTCACCCCTCCCACCCGTTCCAATCCAACTTCTCTCTCACCCCTCCCACCCGTTCCAATCCAACTTCTCTCTCACCCCTCCCACCCGTTCCAATCCAACTTCTCTCTCACCCCTCCCACCCGTTCCAATCCAACTTCTCTCTCACCCCTCCCACCCGTTCCAATCCAACTTCTCTCTCACCCCTCCCACCCGTTCCAATCCAACTTCTCTCTCACCCCTCCCACCCGTTCCAATCCAACTTCTCTCTCACCCCTCCCACCCGTTCCAATCCAACTTCTCTCTCACCCCTCCCACCCGTTCCAATCCAACTTCTCTCTCACCCCTCCCACCCGTTCCAATCCAACTTCTCTCTCACCCCTCCCACCCGTTCCAATCCAACTTCTCTCTCACCCCTCCCACCCGTTCCAATCCAACTTCTCTCTCACCCCTCCCACCCGTTCCAATCCAACTTCTCTCTCACCCCTCCCACCCGTTCCAATCCAACTTCTCTCTCACCCCTCCCACCCGTTCCAATCCAACTTCTCTCTCACCCCTCCCACCCGTTCCAATCCAACTTCTCTCTCACCCCTCCCACCCGTTCCAATCCAACTTCTCTCTCACCCCTCCCACCCGTTCCAATCCAACTTCTCTCTCACCCCTCCCACCCGTTCCAATCCAACTTCTCTCTCACCCCTCCCACCCGTTCCAATCCAACTTCTCTCTCACCCCTCCCACCCGTTCCAATCCAACTTCTCTCTCACCCCTCCCACCCGTTCCAATCCAACTTCTCTCTCACCCCTCCCACCCGTTCCAATCCAACTTCTCTCTCACCCCTCCCACCCGTTCCAATCCAACTTCTCTCTCACCCCTCCCACCCGTTCCAATCCAACTTCTCTCTCACCCCTCCCACCCGTTCCAATCCAACTTCTCTCTCACCCCTCCCACCCGTTCCAATCCAACTTCTCTCTCACCCCTCCCACCCGTTCCAATCCAACTTCTCTCTCACCCCTCCCACCCGTTCCAATCCAACTTCTCTCTCACCCCTCCCACCCGTTCCAATCCAACTTCTCTCTCACCCCTCCCACCCGTTCCAATCCAACTTCTCTCTCACCCCTCCCACCCGTTCCAATCCAACTTCTCTCTCACCCCTCCCACCCGTTCCAATCCAACTTCTCTCTCACCCCTCCCACCCGTTCCAATCCAACTTCTCTCTCACCCCTCCCACCCGTTCCAATCCAACTTCTCTCTCACCCCTCCCACCCGTTCCAATCCAACTTCTCTCTCACCCCTCCCACCCGTTCCAATCCAACTTCTCTCTCACCCCTCCCACCCGTTCCAATCCAACTTCTCTCTCACCCCTCCCACCCGTTCCAATCCAACTTCTCTCTCACCCCTCCCACCCGTTCCAATCCAACTTCTCTCTCACCCCTCCCACCCGTTCCAATCCAACTTCTCTCTCACCCCTCCCACCCGTTCCAATCCAACTTCTCTCTCACCCCTCCCACCCGTTCCAATCCAACTTCTCTCTCACCCCTCCCACCCGTTCCAATCCAACTTCTCTCTCACCCCTCCCACCCGTTCCAATCCAACTTCTCTCTCACCCCTCCCACCCGTTCCAATCCAACTTCTCTCTCACCCCTCCCACCCGTTCCAATCCAACTTCTCTCTCACCCCTCCCACCCGTTCCAATCCAACTTCTCTCTCACCCCTCCCACCCGTTCCAATCCAACTTCTCTCTCACCCCTCCCACCCGTTCCAATCCAACTTCTCTCTCACCCCTCCCACCCGTTCCAATCCAACTTCTCTCTCACCCCTCCCACCCGTTCCAATCCAACTTCTCTCTCACCCCTCCCACCCGTTCCAATCCAACTTCTCTCTCACCCCTCCCACCCGTTCCAATCCAACTTCTCTCTCACCCCTCCCACCCGTTCCAATCCAACTTCTCTCTCACCCCTCCCACCCGTTCCAATCCAACTTCTCTCTCACCCCTCCCACCCGTTCCAATCCAACTTCTCTCTCACCCCTCCCACCCGTTCCAATCCAACTTCTCTCTCACCCCTCCCACCCGTTCCAATCCAACTTCTCTCTCACCCCTCCCACCCGTTCCAATCCAACTTCTCTCTCACCCCTCCCACCCGTTCCAATCCAACTTCTCTCTCACCCCTCCCACCCGTTCCAATCCAACTTCTCTCTCACCCCTCCCACCCGTTCCAATCCAACTTCTCTCTCACCCCTCCCACCCGTTCCAATCCAACTTCTCTCTCACCCCTCCCACCCGTTCCAATCCAACTTCTCTCTCACCCCTCCCACCCGTTCCAATCCAACTTCTCTCTCACCCCTCCCACCCGTTCCAATCCAACTTCTCTCTCACCCCTCCCACCCGTTCCAATCCAACTTCTCTCTCACCCCTCCCACCCGTTCCAATCCAACTTCTCTCTCACCCCTCCCACCCGTTCCAATCCAACTTCTCTCTCACCCCTCCCACCCGTTCCAATCCAACTTCTCTCTCACCCCTCCCACCCGTTCCAATCCAACTTCTCTCTCACCCCTCCCACCCGTTCCAATCCAACTTCTCTCTCACCCCTCCCACCCGTTCCAATCCAACTTCTCTCTCACCCCTCCCACCCGTTCCAATCCAACTTCTCTCTCACCCCTCCCACCCGTTCCAATCCAACTTCTCTCTCACCCCTCCCACCCGTTCCAATCCAACTTCTCTCTCACCCCTCCCACCCGTTCCAATCCAACTTCTCTCTCACCCCTCCCACCCGTTCCAATCCAACTTCTCTCTCACCCCTCCCACCCGTTCCAATCCAACTTCTCTCTCACCCCTCCCACCCGTTCCAATCCAACTTCTCTCTCACCCCTCCCACCCGTTCCAATCCAACTTCTCTCTCACCCCTCCCACCCGTTCCAATCCAACTTCTCTCTCACCCCTCCCACCCGTTCCAATCCAACTTCTCTCTCACCCCTCCCACCCGTTCCAATCCAACTTCTCTCTCACCCCTCCCACCCGTTCCAATCCAACTTCTCTCTCACCCCTCCCACCCGTTCCAATCCAACTTCTCTCTCACCCCTCCCACCCGTTCCAATCCAACTTCTCTCTCACCCCTCCCACCCGTTCCAATCCAACTTCTCTCTCACCCCTCCCACCCGTTCCAATCCAACTTCTCTCTCACCCCTCCCACCCGTTCCAATCCAACTTCTCTCTCACCCCTCCCACCCGTTCCAATCCAACTTCTCTCTCACCCCTCCCACCCGTTCCAATCCAACTTCTCTCTCACCCCTCCCACCCGTTCCAATCCAACTTCTCTCTCACCCCTCCCACCCGTTCCAATCCAACTTCTCTCTCACCCCTCCCACCCGTTCCAATCCAACTTCTCTCTCACCCCTCCCACCCGTTCCAATCCAACTTCTCTCTCACCCCTCCCACCCGTTCCAATCCAACTTCTCTCTCACCCCTCCCACCCGTTCCAATCCAACTTCTCTCTCACCCCTCCCACCCGTTCCAATCCAACTTCTCTCTCACCCCTCCCACCCGTTCCAATCCAACTTCTCTCTCACCCCTCCCACCCGTTCCAATCCAACTTCTCTCTCACCCCTCCCACCCGTTCCAATCCAACTTCTCTCTCACCCCTCCCACCCGTTCCAATCCAACTTCTCTCTCACCCCTCCCACCCGTTCCAATCCAACTTCTCTCTCACCCCTCCCACCCGTTCCAATCCAACTTCTCTCTCACCCCTCCCACCCGTTCCAATCCAACTTCTCTCTCACCCCTCCCACCCGTTCCAATCCAACTTCTCTCTCACCCCTCCCACCCGTTCCAATCCAACTTCTCTCTCACCCCTCCCACCCGTTCCAATCCAACTTCTCTCTCACCCCTCCCACCCGTTCCAATCCAACTTCTCTCTCACCCCTCCCACCCGTTCCAATCCAACTTCTCTCTCACCCCTCCCACCCGTTCCAATCCAACTTCTCTCTCACCCCTCCCACCCGTTCCAATCCAACTTCTCTCTCACCCCTCCCACCCGTTCCAATCCAACTTCTCTCTCACCCCTCCCACCCGTTCCAATCCAACTTCTCTCTCACCCCTCCCACCCGTTCCAATCCAACTTCTCTCTCACCCCCTCCCACCCGTTCCAATCCAACTTCTCTCTCACCCCTCCCACCCGTTCCAATCCAACTTCTCTCTCACCCCTCCCACCCGTTCCAATCCAACTTCTCTCTCACCCCTCCCACCCGTTCCAATCCAACTTCTCTCTCACCCCTCCCACCCGTTCCAATCCAACTTCTCTCTCACCCCTCCCACCCGTTCCAATCCAACTTCTCTCTCACCCCTCCCACCCGTTCCAATCCAACTTCTCTCTCACCCCTCCCACCCGTTCCAATCCAACTTCTCTCTCACCCCTCCCACCCGTTCCAATCCAACTTCTCTCTCACCCCTCCCACCCGTTCCAATCCAACTTCTCTCTCACCCCTCCCACCCGTTCCAATCCAACTTCTCTCTCACCCCTCCCACCCGTTCCAATCCAACTTCTCTCTCACCCCTCCCACCCGTTCCAATCCAACTTCTCTCTCACCCCTCCCACCCGTTCCAATCCAACTTCTCTCTCACCCCTCCCACCCGTTCCAATCCAACTTCTCTCTCACCCCTCCCACCCGTTCCAATCCAACTTCTCTCTCACCCCTCCCACCCGTTCCAATCCAACTTCTCTCTCACCCCTCCCACCCGTTCCAATCCAACTTCTCTCTCACCCCTCCCACCCGTTCCAATCCAACTTCTCTCTCACCCCTCCCACCCGTTCCAATCCAACTTCTCTCTCACCCCTCCCACCCGTTCCAATCCAACTTCTCTCTCACCCCTCCCACCCGTTCCAATCCAACTTCTCTCTCACCCCTCCCACCCGTTCCAATCCAACTTCTCTCTCACCCCTCCCACCCGTTCCAATCCAACTTCTCTCTCACCCCTCCCACCCGTTCCAATCCAACTTCTCTCTCACCCCTCCCACCCGTTCCAATCCAAGCTTCTCTCTCACCCCTCCCACCCGTTCCAATCCAACTTCTCTCTCACCCCTCCCACCCGTTCCAATCCAACTTCTCTCTCACCCCTCCCACCCGTTCCAATCCAACTTCTCTCTCACCCCTCCCACCCGTTCCAATCCAACTTCTCTCTCACCCCTCCCACCCGTTCCAATCCAACTTCTCTCTCACCCCTCCCACCCGTTCCAATCCAACTTCTCTCTCACCCCTCCCACCCGTTCCAATCCAACTTCTCTCTCACCCCTCCCACCCGTTCCAATCCAACTTCTCTCTCACCCCTCCCACCCGTTCCAATCCAACTTCTCTCTCACCCCTCCCACCCGTTCCAATCCAACTTCTCTCTCACCCCTCCCACCCGTTCCAATCCAACTTCTCTCTCACCCCTCCCACCCGTTCCAATCCAACTTCTCTCTCACCCCCTCCCACCCGTTCCAATCCAACTTCTCTCTCACCCCTCCCACCCGTTCCAATCCAACTTCTCTCTCACCCCTCCCACCCGTTCCAATCCAACTTCTCTCTCACCCCTCCCACCCGTTCCAATCCAACTTCTCTCTCACCCCTCCCACCCGTTCCAATCCAACTTCTCTCTCACCCCTCCCACCCGTTCCAATCCAACTTCTCTCTCACCCCTCCCACCCGTTCCAATCCAACTTCTCTCTCACCCCTCCCACCCGTTTCCAATCCAACTTCTCTCTCACCCCTCCCACCCGTTCCAATCCAACTTCTCTCTCACCCCTCCCACCCGTTCCAATCCAACTTCTCTCTCACCCCTCCCACCCGTTCCAATCCAACTTCTCTCTCACCCCTCCCACCCGTTCCAATCCAACTTCTCTCTCACCCCTCCCACCCGTTCCAATCCAACTTCTCTCTCACCCCTCCCACCCGTTCCAATCCAACTTCTCTCTCACCCCTCCCACCCGTTCCAATCCAACTTCTCTCTCACCCCTCCCACCCGTTCCAATCCAACTTCTCTCTCACCCCTCCCACCCGTTCCAATCCAACTTCTCTCTCACCCCTCCCACCCGTTCCAATCCAACTTCTCTCTCACCCCTCCCACCCGTTCCAATCCAACTTCTCTCTCACCCCTCCCACCCGTTCCAATCCAACTTCTCTCTCACCCCTCCCACCCGTTCCAATCCAACTTCTCTCTCACCCCTCCACCCGTTCCAATCCAACTTCTCTCTCACCCCTCCCACCCGTTCCAATCCAACTTCTCTCTCACCCCTCCCACCCGTTCCAATCCAACTTCTCTCTCACCCCTCCCACCCGTTCCAATCCAACTTCTCTCTCACCCCTCCCACCCGTTCCAATCCAACTTCTCTCTCACCCCTCCCACCCGTTCCAATCCAACTTCTCTCTCACCCCTCCCACCCGTTCCAATCCAACTTCTCTCTCACCCCTCCCACCCGTTCCAATCCAACTTCTCTCTCACCCCTCCCACCCGTTCCAATCAACTTCTCTCTCACCCCTCCCACCCGTTCCAATCCAACTTCTCTCTCACCCCTCCCACCCGTTCCAATCCAACTTCTCTCTCACCCCTCCCACCCGTTCCAATCCAACTTCTCTCTCACCCCTCCCACCCGTTCCAATCCAACTTCTCTCTCACCCCTCCCACCCGTTCCAATCCAACTTCTCTCTCACCCCTCCCACCCGTTCCAATCCAACTTCTCTCTCACCCCTCCCACCCGTTCCAATCCAACTTCTCTCTCACCCCTCCCACCCGTTCCAATCCAACTTCTCTCTCACCCCTCCCACCCGTTCCAATCCAACTTCTCTCTCACCCCTCCCACCCGTTCCAATCCAACTTCTCTCTCACCCCTCCCACCCGTTCCAATCCAACTTCTCTCTCACCCCTCCCACCCGTTCCAATCCAACTTCTCTCTCACCCCTCCCACCCGTTCCAATCCAACTTCTCTCTCACCCCTCCCACCCGTTCCAATCCAACTTCTCTCTCACCCCTCCCACCCGTTCCAATCCAACTTCTCTCTCACCCCTCCCACCCGTTCCAATCCAACTTCTCTCTCACCCCTCCCACCCGTTCCAATCCAACTTCTCTCTCACCCCTCCCACCCGTTCCAATCCAACTTCTCTCTCACCCCTCCCACCCGTTCCAATCCAACTTCTCTCTCACCCCTCCCACCCGTTCCAATCCAACTTCTCTCTCACCCCTCCCACCCGTTCCAATCCAACTTCTCTCTCACCCCTCCCACCCGTTCCAATCCAACTTCTCTCTCACCCCTCCCACCCGTTCCAATCCAACTTCTCTCTCACCCCTCCCACCCGTTCCAATCCAACTTCTCTCTCACCCCTCCCACCCGTTCCAATCCAACTTCTCTCTCACCCCTCCCACCCGTTCCAATCCAACTTCTCTCTCACCCCTCCCACCCGTTCCAATCCAACTTCTCTCTCACCCCTCCCACCCGTTCCAATCCAACTTCTCTCTCACCCCTCCCACCCGTTCCAATCCAACTTCTCTCTCACCCCTCCCACCCGTTCCAATCCAACTTCTCTCTCACCCCTCCCACCCGTTCCAATCCAACTTCTCTCTCACCCCTCCCACCCGTTCCAATCCAACTTCTCTCTCACCCCTCCCACCCGTTCCAATCCAACTTCTCTCTCACCCCTCCCACCCGTTCCAATCCAACTTCTCTCTCACCCCTCCCACCCGTTCCAATCCAACTTCTCTCTCACCCCTCCCACCCGTTCCAATCCAACTTCTCTCTCACCCCTCCCACCCGTTCCAATCCAACTTCTCTCTCACCCCTCCCACCCGTTCCAATCCAACTTCTCTCTCACCCCTCCCACCCGTTCCAATCCAACTTCTCTCTCACCCCTCCCACCCGTTCCAATCCAACTTCTCTCTCACCCCTCCCACCCGTTCCAATCCAACTTCTCTCTCACCCCTCCCACCCGTTCCAATCCAACTTCTCTCTCACCCCTCCCACCCGTTCCAATCCAACTTCTCTCTCACCCCTCCCACCCGTTCCAATCCAACTTCTCTCTCACCCCTCCCACCCGTTCCAATCCAACTTCTCTCTCACCCCTCCCACCCGTTCCAATCCAACTTCTCTCTCACCCCTCCCACCCGTTCCAATCCAACTTCTCTCTCACCCCTCCCACCCGTTCCAATCCAACTTCTCTCTCACCCCTCCCACCCGTTCCAATCCAACTTCTCTCTCACCCCTCCCACCCGTTCCAATCCAACTTCTCTCTCACCCCTCCCACCCGTTCCAATCCAACTTCTCTCTCACCCCTCCCACCCGTTCCAATCCAACTTCTCTCTCACCCCTCCCACCCGTTCCAATCCAACTTCTCTCTCACCCCTCCCACCCGTTCCAATCCAACTTCTCTCTCACCCCTCCCACCCGTTCCAATCCAACTTCTCTCTCACCCCTCCCACCCGTTCCAATCCAACTTCTCTCTCACCCCTCCCACCCGTTCCAATCCAACTTCTCTCTCACCCCTCCCACCCGTTCCAATCCAACTTCTCTCTCACCCCTCCCACCCGTTCCAATCCAACTTCTCTCTCACCCCTCCCACCCGTTCCAATCCAACTTCTCTCTCACCCCTCCCACCCGTTCCAATCCAACTTCTCTCTCACCCCTCCCACCCGTTCCAATCCAACTTCTCTCTCACCCCTCCCACCCGTTCCAATCCAACTTCTCTCTCACCCCTCCCACCCGTTCCAATCCAACTTCTCTCTCACCCCTCCCACCCGTTCCAATCCAACTTCTCTCTCACCCCTCCCACCCGTTCCAATCCAACTTCTCTCTCACCCCTCCCACCCGTTCCAATCCAACTTCTCTCTCACCCCTCCCACCCGTTCCAATCCAACTTCTCTCTCACCCCTCCCACCCGTTCCAATCCAACTTCTCTCTCACGTCCAAACTTCTCTCTCACCCTCCCACCCGTTCCAATCCAACTTCTCTCTCACCCCTCCCACCCGTTCCAATCCAACTTCTCTCTCACCCCTCCCACCCGTTCCAATCCAACTTCTCTCTCACCCCCTCCCACCCGTTCCAATCCAACTTCTCTCTCACCCCCTCCCACCCGTTCCAATCCAACTTCTCTCTCACCCCTCCCACCCGTTCCAATCCAACTTCTCTCTCACCCCTCCCACCCGTTCCAATCCAACTTCTCTCTCACCCCTCCCACCCGTTCCAATCCAACTTCTCTCTCACCCCTCCCACCCGTTCCAATCCAACTTCTCTCTCACCCCTCCCACCCGTTCCAATCCAACTTCTCTCTCACCCCTCCCACCCGTTCCAATCCAACTTCTCTCTCACCCCTCCCACCCGTTCCAATCCAACTTCTCTCTCACCCCTCCCACCCGTTCCAATCCAACTTCTCTCTCACCCCTCCCACCCGTTCCAATCCAACTTCTCTCTCACCCCTCCCACCCGTTCCAATCCAACTTCTCTCTCACCCCTCCCACCCGTTCCAATCCAACTTCTCTCTCACCCCTCCCACCCGTTCCAATCCAACTTCTCTCTCACCCCTCCCACCCGTTCCAATCCAACTTCTCTCTCACCCCTCCCACCCGTTCCAATCCAACTTCTCTCTCACCCCTCCCACCCGTTCCAATCCAACTTCTCTCTCACCCCTCCCACCCGTTCCAATCCAACTTCTCTCTCACCCCTCCCACCCGTTCCAATCCAACTTCTCTCTCACCCCTCCCACCCGTTCCAATCCAACTTCTCTCTCACCCCTCCCACCCGTTCCAATCCAACTTCTCTCTCACCCCTCCCACCCGTTCCAATCCAACTTCTCTCTCACCCCTCCCACCCGTTCCAATCCAACTTCTCTCTCACCCCTCCCACCCGTTCCAATCCAACTTCTCTCTCACCCCTCCCACCCGTTCCAATCCAACTTCTCTCTCACCCCTCCCACCCGTTCCAATCCAACTTCTCTCTCACCCCTCCCACCCGTTCCAATCCAACTTCTCTCTCACCCCTCCCACCCGTTCCAATCCAACTTCTCTCTCACCCCTCCCACCCGTTCCAATCCAACTTCTCTCTCACCCCTCCCACCCGTTCCAATCCAACTTCTCTCTCACCCCTCCCACCCGTTCCAATCCAACTTCTCTCTCACCCCTCCCACCCGTTCCAATCCAACTCTCTCACCCTCCCACCCGTTCCAATCCAACTTCTCTCTCACCCCTCCCACCCGTTCCAATCCAACTTCTCTCTCACCCCTCCCACCCGTTCCAATCCAACTTCTCTCTCACCCCTCCCACCCGTTCCAATCCAACTTCTCTCTCACCCCTCCCACCCGTTCCAATCCAACTTCTCTCTCACCCCTCCCACCCGTTCCAATCCAACTTCTCTCTCACCCCTCCCACCCGTTCCAATCCAACTTCTCTCTCACCCCTCCCACCCGTTCCAATCCAACTTCTCTCTCACCCCTCCCACCCGTTCCAATCCAACTTCTCTCTCACCCCTCCCACCCGTTCCAATCCAACTTCTCTCTCACCCCTCCCACCCGTTCCAAATCCAACTTCTCTCTCACCCCTCCACCCGTTCCAATCCAACTTCTCTCTCACCCCTCCCACCCGTTTCCAATCCAACTTCTCTCTCACCCTCCCACCCGTTCCAATCCAACTTCTCTCTCACCCCTCCCACCCGTTCCAATCCAACTTCTCTCTCACCCCGTCCCCACCCGTTCCAATCCAACTTCTCTCTCACCCCTCCCACCCGTTCCAATCCAACTTCTCTCTCACCCCTCCCACCCGTTCCAATCCAACTTCTCTCTCACCCCTCCCACCCGTTCCAATCCAACTTCTCTCTCACCCCTCCCACCCGTTCCAATCCAACCTTCTCTCTCACCCCTCCCACCCGTTCCAATCAACTTTCTCTCTCACCCCTCCCCACCCGTTCCAATCCAACTTCTCTCTCACCCCTCCCACCCGTTCCAATCCAACTTCTCTCTCACCCCTCTCCGCACCCGTTCGGCAATCCAACTTCTCTCCTCCACCCCTCCCACCCGTTCCAATCCAACTTCTCTCTCACCCCTCCCACCCGTTCCAATCCAACTTCTCTCTCACCCTCCACCCGTTCCAAGCCAACTTCATCTTACTAACCCCTCCCACCCGTTCCAATCCAACTTCTCTCTCACCCTCTCCCACCGTTCCAATCCAACTTCTCGTCTCACCCTCCCACCCGGTCCAATCCAACTTCTCTCTCACCCCTCCCACCCGTTCCAATCCAACTTCTCTCTCACCCCTCCACCCGTTCCAATCCAACTTCTCTCTCACCCCTCCCACCCGTTCCAATCCAACTTCTCTCTCACCCCTCCCACCCGTTCCAATCCAACTTCTCTCTCACCCCTCCCACCCGTTCCAATCCAACTTCTCTCTCACCCCTCCCACCCGTTCCAATCCAACTTCTCTCTCACCCCTCCCACCCGTTCCAATCCAACTTCTCTCTCACCCCTCCCACCCGTTCCAATCCAACTTCTCTCTCACCCCTCCCACCCGTTCCAATCCAACTTCTCTCTCACCCCTCCCACCCGTTCCAATCCAACTTCTCTCTCACCCCTCCCACCCGTTCCAATCCAACTTCTCTCTCACCCCTCCCACCCGTTCCAATCCAACTTCTCTCTCACCCCTCCCACCCGTTCCAATCCAACTTCTCTCTCACCCCTCCCACCCGTTCCAATCCAACTTCTCTCTCACCCCTCCCACCCGTTCCAATCCAACTTCTCTCTCACCCCTCCCACCCGTTCCAATCCAACTTCTCTCTCACCCCTCCCACCCGTTCCAATCCAACTTCTCTCTCACCCCCTCCCAACCCGTTCCAATCCAACTTCTCTCTCACCCCTCCCACCCGTTCCAATCCAACTTCTCTCCCCCCCCCACCCGTTCCAATCCTCTCTCTCCCCTCCACCCGTTCCAATCCAACTTCTCTCTCACCCCTCCCACTCCGTTCCAATCCAACTTCTCTCTCACCCCTCCCACCCGTCCAATCCAACTTCTCTCTCAACCCTCCCACCCGTTCCAATCCAACTTCTCTCTCACCCCCTCCCACCCGTTCCAATCCAACTTCTCTCTCACCCCTCCACACGTTCCATCCAACTTCTCTCTCTAACCCTCCCACCCGTTCCAATCCAACTTCTCTCTCACCCTCCCACCCGTTCCAATCCAACTTCTCTCTCACCCCTCCCACCCGTTCCCAATCCACTTCTCTCTCACCCTCCCACCCGTTCCAATCCAACTTCTCTCTCACCCTCCCACCCGTTCCAATCCAACTTCTCTCTCACCCCTCCCACCCGTTCCAATCCAACTTCCTCTCTCACCCCTCCCACCCGTTCCAATCCAACTTCTCTCTCACCCCCTCCCACCCGTTCCAATCCCAACTTCTCTCTCACCCCCTCCCACCCGTTCCAATCCAACTTCTCTCTCACCCTCCCCACCCGTTCCAATCCAACTTCTCTCTCACCCCTCCCACCCGTTCCAATCCACTTCTCTCTCACCCCTCCCACCCGTTCCAATCCAACTTCTCTCTCACCCCTCCCACCCGTTCCAATCCAACTTCTCTCTCACCCCTCCCACCCGTCCAATCCAACTTCTCTCTCACCCCTCCCCCCCGTTCCAATCCAACTTCTCTCTCACCCCTCCCACCGTTCCAATCCAACTTCCTCTCACCCCTCCCACCCGTTCCAATCCACTTCTCTCTCACCCCTCCCACCCGTTCCAATCCAACTTCTCTCTCACCCCTCCCACCCGTTCCAATCCATTCTCTCTCACTCCCTCCCAACCCGTTCCATCCAACTTCTCTCTCCCCTCCCACCCGTTCCAATCCAACTTCTCTCTCACCCCTCCCACCCGTTCCAATCCAACTTCTCTCTCACCCCTCCCACCCGTTCCAATCCAGCTTCTCTCTCACCCCTCCCACCCGTTCCAATCCAACTTCTCTCTCACCCCTCCCACCCTTCCAATCCAACTTCTCTCCTCACCCCTCCCACCCTTCCAATCCACTTCTCTCTCACCCCTCCCACCCGTTCCAATCCAACTTCTCTCTCACCCCTCCCACCCACCCGTTCCAATCCAACTTCTCTCTCACCCCTCCCACCCGTTCAATCCAACTTCTCTCTCACCCCTCCCACCCGTTCCAATCCAACTTCTCTCTCACCCCTCCCACCCGTTTCCAATCCAACTTCTCTCTCACACCCTCCCACCCGTTCCAATCCAACTTCTCTCTCACCCCTCCCACCGTTCCAATCCAACTTCTCTCTCACCCCTCCCACCCGTTCCAATCCAACTTCTCTCTCCCCCTCCCACCCGTTCCAATCCAACTTCTCTCTCCACCCCTCCCACCCGTTCCAATCCAACTTCTCTCTCACCCCTCCCACCCGTTTTCCAATCCAACTTCTCTCTCACCCCTCCCACCCGTTCCAATCCAACTTCTCTCTCACCCCTCCCACCCGTTCCAATCCAACTTCTCTCTCCCCCTCCCACCCGTTCCAATCCAACTTCTCTCTCACCCCTCCCACCCGTTCCAATCCAACTTCTCTCTCACCCCTCCCACCCGTTCCAATCCAACTTCTCTCTCACCCCTCCCACCCGTTCCAATCCAGCCTTCTCTCTCACCCCCTCCCACCCGTTCCAATCCAACTTCTCTCTCACCCCTCCCACCCGTTCCAATCCACAACTCTCTCTCACCCCTCCCACCCGTTCCAATCCACTTCCTCATCTCACCCATCCCACCCGTTCCAATCCAACTTCTCTCTCACCCCTCCCACCCGTTCCAATCCAACTTCTCTCTCACCCCTCCCACCCTTTCTCAATCCAACTTCTCTCTCACGCCTCCCACCCGTTCCAATCCACTTCTCTCTCACCCCCTTCCCACCCGTTCCAATCCACTTCTCTCTCACCCTCCCACCCGTTTCCAATCCAACTTCTCTCTCACCCTCCCACCCGTTCCAATCCAAACTTCTCTCTCACCCTCCCACCCGTTTCCAATCCAACTTCTCTCTCACCCCTCCCACCCGTTCCAATCCAACTTCTCTCTCACCCCTCCCACCCGTTCCAATCCAACTTCTCTCTCACCCCTCCCACACCGTTCCAATCCAACTTCTCTCTCACTCCCTCCCACCCGTTCCAATCCAACTTCTCTCTCACCCCTACCACCCGTTCCAACCACTTCTCTCTCCCCCTCCCACCCGTTCAATCCAACTTCTCTCTCACCCCTCCCACCCGTTCCAATCCAACTTCTCTCTCACCCCTCCCACCCGTTCCAATCCAACTTCTCTCCTCACCCCCCCCTCCCCCCGTTCCAATCCAACTTCTCTCTCACCCCTCCACCGTTTCCAATCCAACGTCTCTCTCACCCCTCCCACCCGTTCCAATCCACTTTCTCTCACCCCTCCCACCCGTTCCAATCCAACTTCTCTCTCACCCCTCCCACCCGTTCCAATCCAACTTCTCTCTCACCCCTCCCACCCGTTCCAATCAACTTCTCTCTCACCCCCCCACCCGTTCCAATCCCAACTTCTCTCTCACCCCTCCCACCCGTTCCAATCCATTCTCTCTCACCCCCCAACCCGTTCCAATCCAACTTCTCTCTCACCCCTCCCACCCGTTCCAATCCAACTTCTCTCTCACCCCTCCCACCCGTTCCAATCCAACTTCTCTCTCACCCCTCCCACCCGTTCCAATCCAACTTCTCTCTCACCCCTCCCACCCGTTCCAATCCAACTTCTCTCTCACCCCTCCACCCGTTCCATCCAACTTCTCTCTCACCCCTCCCACCACGTTCCATCCAACTTCTCTCTCACCCCTTCCCACCGTTCAATCCAACTTCTCTCTCACCCCTCCCACCCGTTCCAATCCAACTTCTCTCTCACCCCCCACCCGTTCCAATCCAACTTCTCTCTCACCCCTCCCACCCGTTCCAATCCAACTTCTCTCTCACCCCTCCCCACCCGTTCCATCCAACTTCTCTCTCACCCCTCCCCCCGTTCCAATCCAACTTCTCTCTCACCCCTCCCACCCGTTCCATCAACTTCTCTCTCACCCCCTCCCACCCGTTTCAATCCAACTCTCTCTCACCCCTCCCTCCCGTTCCAATCCACTTCTCTCTCACGCCCCTCCCACCCGTTTCCAATCCACTTCTCTCTCACGCCCTCCCACCCGTTCCATCCAACTTTCTCTCTCACCCCTCCCACCCGTTCAATCCACTTCTCTCTCACCCTCCCACCCGTTCCAATCCAGCTTCTCTCTCACCCCTCCCACTTTTTCCTCTGCATCAGCTCGTGCTGCTCTACCCGCTGCTCTTCATTCTCCAGGTGAGCCCCCCTTTCTCTCGCTCTCTCTCTTTTACCTCTGCATCAGCTCGTGCTGCTCTACCCACTGCTCTTCATTCTCCAGGTGAGCCCCCCTTTCTCTCGCTCTCTCTCTTTTACCTCTGCATCAGCTCGTGCTGCTCTACCCACTGCTCTTCATTCTCCAGGTGAGCCCCCCTTTCTCTCGCTCTCTCTCTTTTACCTCTGCATCAGCTCGTGCTGCTCTACCCACTGCTCTTCATTCTCCAGGTGAGCCCCCCTTTCTCTCGCTCTCTCTCTTTTACCTCTGCATCAGCTCGTGCTGCTCTACCCACTGCTCTTCATTCTCCAGGTGAGCCCCCCTTTCTCTCGCTCTCTCTCTTTTACCTCTGCATCAGCTCGTGCTGCTCTACCCACTGCTCTTCATTCTCCAGGTGAGCCCCCCTTTCTCTCGCTCTCTCTCTTTTACCTCTGCATCAGCTCGTGCTGCTCTACCCACTGCTCTTCATTCTCCAGGTGAGCCCCCCTTTCTCTCGCTCTCTCTCTTTTACCTCTGCATCAGCTCGTGCTGCTCTACCCACTGCTCTTCATTCTCCAGGTGAGCCCCCCTTTCTCTCGCTCTCTCTCTTTTTCCTCTGCATCAGCTCGTGCTGCTCTACCCACTGCTCTTCATTCTCCAGGTGAGCCGCTGTGCCGTTGTTTTCTCCTAGAGCTCGAGGTTTCCTCTTCCCCCCCACCCCTTCTCTCCCTTTTCTAAGAATCAGCTCGTGCTGCTCTACCCGCTGCTCTTCATTCTCCAGGTGAGCCGCTGTGCATCTGTTTTCCGTTAGAGATCTATGTTCCCCCCCTCCCTCTCTCCCTTTTCTTTGAATCAGGTGAGCCGCTTTGCATTTGTTCCTCACACTCTCATTCTTTTTCTTTGAAGGGCTGCCTCTGCGTGCGCCTCTCAACCGCACCTTACCGCATTGCAATCCCTCCCACGTGCCTCTCTCCCTCCCGCTCTCTCATTCGTCCTCTGCAGTTCTTCCAGCTCTATATCGGGGTGCGCCTGCTCCGCACATCACTCTACGAAATGTTCGAGTGGCAGGTATGGCTGCTGATGGTGCTTCAGCGAAGGAGGGAAGGTGGCATGGGGAGGGAAGTGGGGTCGTGTGGGTAAATGCAGTGAGTTGGTGGGTTGGAAGGTTGGGGGAGAGAGGGAGGGGGGGAATGAAGGGGAAGGTTTGGAAGGAAAATGTGGTCATACGAGTTCGGTATTAGGAAGAGCGAAAGGGAATGACATGCAGAACTGGAGGTGCTTTGCCTACATTCTACCCTGGAAGGACGGCTTTACCAACTTCTAAGCCTTGTGCCTAACCCATTTCTCACCCGACCCACTCCTCACCCAAAGATATCAGATTCACGTTTTCTTTTTTCCTTCATCTCTTTCCCTCCCCTCTGCTTGTCAGCTTTTTGCATGTGGCATTCTCCTTATAGTTATGGCAGTTGGTAACTTCACCAACACTGTAGCTACTGTGGCCACTAAGCTTACCATCAAAGCCAAGATGCGCAAGAAGGGCGGAGGATCCAAGTCCCAAGATTCCAACAAGGCGTCTGCATCTCCTCACAAAGCAGACTAATCGCTCGAGATTGCTAATACAGTAATAAAATTTGTTTAGGATGTAGGGAAAATTTTAGATGTACACGGCCACATTGCACCTTGGCTAGAATGCTCAAGCTTCGATACAGTCGGAGCTTATTCGCAACGCGAATTTCCTGAGACCTGCCCTGCGGTTCGCAAACAGTGCACCCCAGGTTGCCACGTCAGGTAAGTGTGTATCCACTCTGTCTGCCATATCTGCGAGTGTGTGTACAGTTCCACAAAACTCCACAGAAGCCGAGTCGCAAAACTGTTGTGTACACATTGGAGTCGCGAGTGATCAACTTCCAAACCAGTCTGGCAGCACGCCATTGGCTGGATCGCATTCTTCGGACTCAGCCAAACTGCCGGCAACAACACGGTCAGGTGTTTGCTCCGATGTTCCTCCACCAAACTTCCACCAGTCCCAGGCAAAACTGCAAACCGCCAATCGAACATTGGTAGGGGCAAACAAATGTTGCTCACCACTCGTCGTTACTGCAGCATCCCCTCCGCTCTTCTCATCACCTACTGGGCCAGCGAAGCTCTTTCTGATTGTGCTCATCCTCATCCTCGCTAGTAGCATGTTATCAGTGCAAATTCCCTATTCCCGAACCACACTGATCCTGGATGGGACAGGCACGGAAACCCCTTCCTCCGTCCGTACCTTTCTCCTTGCTCCGTCTCCTGGTGCCTTGTTTCGATGCAATGCAGCGTGAAAGCTTTTCGGCAATCCCTGATTCCCTTATCGCTAGACACTGAGCTTTACGCATGCAATGCGAGTAGTACGGGGTGCAGTACTAGTCTCTCGCTAACGATAGAACGACCATCCACTTTCCCATCCAATAATCCCTCTCCAGCTCAGCTCAATCACATTGTTCCGCATTTGCGCACAGTCGAGAGCCGCTATTATATGCACTCTTTCTTATCATTCCGATCAAGCCAACGCCCATTTCCGTATCCCAGCTCGCGTCGGCATTTGCGGCGCCTCGAGAGCCGCTATGGCCCGTAGAAGCAGTAATCCAGCACCGAGGCGCGTGTCTGCTGCGCGTCGAGCGCCGGTTGTCACGCCGCTCCTCGCGCTGCTGCTGCTCTCGTCCTTCGCTCACCTGTCCCTCGCCATCACTTGCGACTCGGATCAAAACATGGTGCGCGCTCCGCCATTCCCTTCCTTCCCCCTCCTCCGCCAAGCCTCCGCCTCTCTCTCGCGCAGTCGCACGAAAGCAGGGTGCACTTCTCCGCTCCTTAGTCTCTTCCTCACCGCTCCCCTTATTCGTTTCTCCTTTTTCCGCCGCCAATGTTACTGCCCGCGAGGCAACGTCGACAAACTGTGCGACTGACCGCTTCCCACCCCCATCCTCCGCTCCCTCCTCCCCCCCATCCCCCGCTCCCTCCTCCCCCTCTCTCCCCCTCCTCCCCTTTTTTCCCCACCCTCCCCACCTCCGTTTTCCCCTCCGCCAGTGGTACTGCGCGTCGGGCGATGAGTGCGTGAGCGGCGACCAGCTGTGCGACGGCACGGCGGATTGCGGCGACGAGAGCGACGAGCAGCCGTGGGAATGCGGGGGATACGAGGACGGCTGTCCGCCTGAGATGGTAAGGCAGCGGGTGAATCGGGGAGGGGGCGGGGGTGGGAGGGGAAGGAAAGAAGGGTGGGGCGAGGTGTGGGGGGAGGGAGCGAGGGAGCGCAAGTGAGTGGGTGTGAGTGTGAGCAGGTTTAAAATCATCTTATTCCCCCCCCTCCTATTCTTTTCTCCTTCCCTTGTGCAGATGCCCTGTCCGCTTATAAACATCGCCAACGGCCCTTGGTGCTTCGACCCTGCAGCAGCATGCGACGGCACGGCTGACTGCCCGTACGGCGCTGACGAGTGGCCGGGCTTTTGTGTCGACCTCAAGCGTTCCTTCCCTTCTCCTTTCTTTTTCTTTTTTCCAGATGCCTTGTCCGCTCACATCCATCGCCAGTGCTCCCTGGTGCTTCGACCCCGCAGCACCGTATGACGGCACTCATCCTCTCCTCCTCTCTTGCCCTTTTCCTCTTCACACCTTCCCGTCTGCAGACGTCCTGCCCTCTCACATCCATCGCAAATGCTCCCTGGTGCTTCGACCCTGCAGCAGCATGCGACGGCACGGCTGACTGCCCGTACGGCGCTGACGAGTGGCCGGGCTTTTGTGTCGACCTCAAGAGTTCCTTCCCTTCTCCTTTCTTCTTCTTTTTACCAGATGCCTGGTCCGCTTACATCCATCGCCAGTGCTCCCTGGCGCTTCGACCCCGCAGCACCGTATGACGGCACTCATCCTCTCCTCCTCTCTTGCCCTTTTCCTCTTCACACCTTCCCGTCTGCAGACGTCCTGCCCTCTCACATCCATCGCAAATGCTCCCTGGTGCTTCGACCCTGCAGCAGCATGCGACGGCACGGCTGACTGCCCGTACGGCGCTGACGAGTGGCCGGGCTTTTGTGTCGACCTCAAGAGTACCTCCGACTGCCCGTTGACTCCGAAGCAAGTGCTCTGCCCCGGAAAACAAGCCTGCGTGACAGGTATGGTATGCGACGGCGTGGCAAACTGCGGTGCGGTGGCGGCCGAAGGGGGAGGGACGGTCGTTCCGGACGAAGATCAGGATTACTGCTCGGTGTACGAGTGTTCAGAGGGGTACTGGAAGTGTTCCGATGGGGTGCAGTGCATAGATGAAACGCTCAAGTGTAACGGCAAGGCGGATTGCAGGGACGGGAGCGATGAGAAGGGCTGCGGCAGTGGCAGTACGACTCCCCCACCAGTTGTAACGACTCCACCTCAAGATGTAACAACCCCTCCTAAAGATGCAACCGGTGGAGGGGCTACAGGGGGCACGTCTGGTGGGACATCTGGAGATGAAACGAGTGGAGACGGGACGGGAGATGAAACGGGAGATGAAACCAGCGGGGATGGTGGGGAAGAGGGAACGGGGGATGAAACGAGTGGAGATGAAACTGAGGGTGGTGATGGTGCTGCTGACGGAACGGGAGGAGATGAAACTGACACGAGTGGTACGGCGGACGAAGCGGAAGGGGGGAACACAGTTGGTGTGGGAGAGGGAGGACAAGGCGGAACAGGAGGGGGAGGGGGAGTTGGGGGGGAAGGAAAAGGCCAAGGGAAAGGAGCAGACAAACCGCCACCATCTCAAGACCACCCTCCTGCCAAGAAGATCCTACCTGTCATCCCTCCTGTCCCAGGGTCGATTGGAAAGGCTCTTGGGGGTGCGAGCAGCTCAGTCAGCAATGCAGCCCAAGGTGCAGCTAAGAAGATTGGAGAGGTTACAGCAGGAATGAAGAAGCTTATAACGGAGCGCAATGCGAAGAAACCCAAGCAGCCAGGTTCAGGATCGGGTGGAAATGCTGGGACCGGAGCAGGCGGCGCTGCAGGTGATTCTTCAGGTGGAAACGCAGGTGGAACTGGTGCTGACCCGGTACACACCACACCTGAATCTAGCTCTACTCCCAAAACCCCTAGCGCCACTGGGGGAACAGGAGGCAGCAGCAGCAGCAGTGGCAGTGGCACTGTGAAGGCTCCACTGGTGGGGGGGTTGGTGGGGGAGGTGGTATCTAAGGCAGGAAAACAGTTAGATGCGGTGAGGAATGCGGTGAATGCAGCAAGTAAGAAAGGGGTGGAGCTGGGGAGGAAGGGAAAGTCAGGCGGTGGGGGGTCGGCAAGAGGAGGGGTTATGAAACCTGTTACCGGGGTCAAGGGAGCTATTCAGGGTGCTGCTCAGTTGAAGAAGTTGCAGCAGAAGGCTTCTGCGGGTTCAGGTGCTGCATCAGGTGTCGTCTTGAGTGGGAAGGGCAAGAGGAATATGCAGAGCAAGGAGAAGAAAGGAAAGAAGAAGGATGTGAAGAAAGGGGGACAGAAGCAGAAGGCAAAGAACCACCAGAGGTCAAGGAAAGGTTGATTGGACTTGACAAGTTGGGTGATTTCACAAGGAAGGGGTCCAAGGAAGCGTGAATTGTGGCACTCATGGTGCATGCTGCAGCATGTATGATGTGTGGGACAGGTTAACATAATGATTGACGACAGGTTGTAACTTGTAACATATGCTAGGGTAATGCATTAGTTAAAATGCATGGTGTGGGTGAAGAGGACGGAGTTACTTGCAAGGGATGTGCTAGTATGGGGCATGCCTCTGCATTCTATATTGGTTCAGATGGCATTCCTGGGGTGGGGATGGCCAAACGCCAAACGTCTGGACATCTGAGCGTTGGGGCCACGTGCCTTCAACGAGGCAGCCCACCGACGGCCGTGCGACGTTCTCGCACGACTGATGTTCAGTAGTGTAGTTGACTCAACGTGCAACTGTAATGGCGTTGTTATTAACACCAGAATGAGGGCCAAAACCATTTGGGGCAAAGGAAAAAAACCAAACCACAGGGATGGTTGCATTGAAGTAGCGGGTGTTTGTGTTGGTACGGAATTTGACACTGCATACCCCATTCGTGCGAGGATTGTCAATTCCGCAAAAAATATTTTCGAGGGCGCGTCCCCTGGCTTGTTCAACGACGAACATGTCGCAGACGTTTGTTAGCGCAGGAAATTCATTGGTGCGCGGGTGCAGATGTACACCTGTTGCCAACGTCACACGGCTACTCTTACACGTCATTGGAGCGGCTAATGTCCAGGCCATCGCCAGGAACGCCCTCTCATTCTAGTCAGGAAATAGTGATCTGCGCCCACGGTTCCCTAAATGATGGGCGTGCAGCACACCATCACTTCGTGTATATAACGCGGACAAGTACTGAGCTTTAGTGAGTTCAAACTGTGAAACCCACCTGAAAGGGCCACCTGAGTATCTCTCTGCGGTGCGACTCTATGCTAGTCCTGTCAACGCAGCTCACCAACCACACAACACAACAACCACTCGTCAAGGCGCTGTACAGCTCCGTGTCCAAAAGCAACGAATGTGAGAGGTGATCGATGGTTCGGTCGAGCCAGGACCAGCGGCTTGGCAACAATTCTGATTCGTTCAGCTGTGAATCACCTGGAAACCAGAGTGATGAAGCGAGGCGCGCAACAGAATGGAACGACAGAGTGTACCTGGTGAGAATTTCAAGCAAGGAGTCAGGAGTTGATAGGAGTCGCCGCCACGTCAAGCCTAGTGGCCAAGACTGCCCATACCTCCACTTCCGTCATCAGTCACCAAACCAAACCAGCCTATACCAGACTATACCGAAACACACCAAACCCACACGAATCACATTCTCTACACCACCGACCAGGTTTATTTTCGCATTCTCTGCTTTGTGATTCGCTTCTCAGACCTCCGTGCCTGTCCAGGCTCGGGTCCCTGCTTGGCACGCCTAAAACCAAAGCTGCGAGAACTGTACGTATCTGGCTAACGTTCCTAGCCTCTAATGCTTCTCTTATGCTTATCGAACAGTGCAACCGTACAACGAGAATCTGTCACTACTCGCGACTCGAAGCTCTTATCAGAGTGTGCGGTCCAAGGAGCTTCGAGCTGTTGAGCGCGTTACCGTATCAAAAGCGACTGCGGAGGAGAGAAGGATAGGCGGAGAGCATCGGCGCGAGGGCGCAAGATCGCGTGAGAGCAAACCAGCAAGCGAGAATGCATCAGACCGGATTGAGCGGCGATGTCCGTCATTGGGAGCAACGAATGCCACTGGGAGCAAATGATGCCCCCAATGCCATGCGCCGTTGGCTTGCCAGTGGCCCGCCGGCGCCGCCAGAAGTGCGCCCCAACCCGACAAGAGCAGTTCTCTCGACTCTCAGTGGTCGCGGGGGTGAGGGTCCCTGCGGGATTTCGCGAAGAGCTGCTGACCGTAGGATGTGTGAGGAATGCCGATGACGATACAATGCATAAATAGCACGTCCTCGCAGTCTGTTTCACGCGAATTCTCGAGACTGGGACAGGAGACGGGGAGAGCGATATATAGCACGAGAGGGGCAGGACCTTGGAAGACCCCAGTGACGGGACTTCCCGAGAGGTCCAAGCAGCGTTCCGCCGCGAGCAACGGTGCTCAGTTGCACTCCACGCGGCACCGCGCGCCACCGCTCTATACCCCCGTTCACCAAGCCTCGCTCCCACGCCGCAACTTCGCCGAACCGCGCGGATAACGGGTTCTGAGAATTCTCAGAAGCTAATACCTGTGTCACATCGCCGGGCGTGATGGCTGCGGCTCGACGCGACGCGTCGCAGGATCGAGCTTTATGTGTTGCCGTGCTCTTGCTGCTGCTGCCGTCGCTCGTTCAGGTACGCTCGTGAGCGCGCGGGCGTGAGCGTGTGTGTGGGAGGGGAAAAGCGAAGGGGGGCTGGGGCACGGAATGGGGTGGGGGTGGAGTGAGGGCTGATATTACGCTTCCGCATTCTCCTCGTGCCCGACTCCGTCGCTCGTTTTAAGTTTTCTTAAAAGCTCCCCATCTCTCTCCGTCCACCTCGCTCACCCCACGCTCCTCCCTTCGCCCGCTATGGCTGTGCGCGCAGTAGCAGGAATTCGAGTCTCGTCCGCGTGTGTAACGATTCTCCTCTCTCCTGTCCCTGCTCCCTCCTTCCCCTCCTGCCCCGCATAACGTATTACTCCCCACGGCAGTGCGCGCAGCTGTCGTGGCTGAAGCAGCAGGACCTCCCAGTCTCGTGCGCTCAGAACGACAACTCGGTGAGTCACCAGCAGCCGTCTCATGTCCTCCCTGCCGTCTCGTATCATCTGCCGTCTATTTTTGCCCACAGTACATGCGACTGCCTCTCCTTCTCTCTCGTCCTCATCTCCCAGTCTCGTGCGCTCAGAACGACAACTCGGCGAGTCACCCGCAGCCATCTCGCGTCACCCCTGCCGTCTTGCGTCATCCCTGCCGTCTCATTTTCGCCGTCCAAACGTGCGATTCCTTCTCTCAATTTCTCTCACCCGCCCTCCCTCTCCCCCATCTCGCTTCTCCCCCTCCCCCCATCTGCGCCTCGTGGGGATCAGTGCGTGAGCAGCGATCAGCTATGCGACGGCCTTGTCCCCCTACCCTGACCTTGCACTTCCCCCGCTCTTCCCTCCCTTTTCTTCCCCGTGTCTCCCCCTCCGCCAGTGGTACTGTGCATCGTGGGACCAGTGCGTGAGCAGCGACCAGCTGTGCGACGGAACTGCGGATTGCAACGACGAGAGCGACGAGCTGCCGTGGGAGTGCGGAGGGTACGAGGACGGCTGTCCGCCTGACATGGTAAACATTGATTGCAGACTTGTCGTGTGATTGGAGTGATGGTAGCGACGAGAATGATGAGAGCGACGAGCTGCCGTGGGAGTGCGGGGGATACGAGGACGGCTGTCCGCCTGACATGGTAAGGGAGTGAGGGGAGTAAGTAGGGGTGCATCCACACGGAATCCCGCCTGTCAAAATCATTTCGGCTGGTGATTCGACACCGCTACAGTGTACAATGGCACACTCTCCCGCTTCTCACTCAATTCTCTCCTTCTTCCTGCTCCCCAACACCACACCCACCAGATTGCCTGTCCAGTCACAACCATATCTGACAAGCTATGGTGCATCGACCCAGCTGCAGCGTGTGACGGTTCTACCGACTGCCCCTTCAGCGCCGATGAGTGGCCGGGTTTCTGTGTGGACTTCAACAGCAAAGCCACCTGCCCGAACTATCCGAACCAAGTGCACTGCCCCGACGGCCAAACCTGCGGTTCAGGCATGGTGTGCGATGGCGTGGCTGATTGTCCGTCGGTGTCGGGAGGAGCGGGGACCGGAGGGGGTGGGGGAGGAGGAGGAGAATTGGGAGGAGGAGCGAGTGGGGGGCTGTTCCCTTCGGATGAGGATCAGGATTACTGTGCGGTGTACGAGTGTCCGGATGGGTACTGGAAGTGTGGGAATATCGTGCAGTGCATAGCTGAAACGCTCAAGTGTAACGGCGTGAAGGATTGCAGCGATGGGAGTGATGAAACGGACTGCAGTGGCTCGGGTGGGAGCAACAGCAGTGACTCGGATTCTTCTCAAGATGACACGACCTCTTCTGGAATTGACACGTCTGGAGATGACACCAGTGGAGGAGGTGATACAACTGGGCCCTCAGACGGATCACCTGGAGATGTAACGGGAACTGGAGCGGGAGGAACTGGAGCAGGAGGAACTGTAACGGGAGGGACGGTTACTGCTACTACACCTGTACCTCCCACACCCAAGCAGGTTCCCCCTCAGGTGATTCCTGGTACAGGTTCAGTAAGCAAGGCGATTGGCAACGCACAGGGTGCTGTTAACCAAGCAGCTAATGGCGCAGCGAAGGCCATTGGAGGGCTGGCGAAGAAGCTTATAAAGGGGGGAAGTGCGAGAAAGAAGAAAGTGAACCCAGGGGTTGTGCCAGGAGCAGGGGGAGCTGCAGCGAGTGGAGCAGCAGGTGGTGTCGGAGGAGGTGATACGCCAGGTGGAACCTCAGGTGATGCCTCAGGTGATACCTCGGGTGATGCCGCAGTTGACGGTGCAGGTGATTCGTCAGGCGGTGCTTCAGCTGATGGTTCTGGTGATGCTTCAGGTGAATCTTCAGGGGGAAACAGCGGCACTGGTACTGGCACAGGAACCTCCTTGGTTGGTGCTCAGAGCAGCCCGACAGGCAGCAGTGGCAGTAAGAATGGTGGTTCTAAATCAGGGACTGCGTTTACCACTCGCACCGTCGCAGAACCGAATCTCACTCCTTCCGACCCCTCAGCTGGGACAAGTGGGGGCAAGAGGGGAGGAAACGCAGCGTGGAGCGGACAGGATGGGATTAGCAGCAAGTCAAAGAAGAAGAAGAACCGGGAGGGATTCTGGGCGTGGGTGAAGAGGAAAGCGAATGAAGCCAAGACAATGGTGCAGGCTGCAGCAGAGAAAGGAAAGGCACAAGCAACGGCACAGCTGAAGAAAGTGCAGAAGAAGGGGGGAGCAAACAAAATGCAAGGGAAGGATGCAGCTCAGGCGAACCAGGTGCAAGCGAAGGTCGCTCAAAAGAAGCAGGGACAGCAGAACAGAAAGGTGCAGGCGAAGAAGGGTTAGTGGGGAATGGGAGCGGGGCATGTGTGGATTTTGAGAAGCAGTCTGTGTGTGTGAGTGAATCACTTTTGCTACTGATTGGAGTTACCATGTTGTAACATACAATTATATTTTATTATTTATCTTATCACATACAACCTTTCAAAATACTTTGAAGATGCCCTAAAATTATCACATAGAACCCTAAACTTCATTTATTATATCGGAGATGCCCCAAAACAAAGCTTGAATGTCCAGTTGTTACGAGTGCAATTGAGTGAACGAGCGAGAATTGCACTATCGAAGCAAGCGTACAATGAGCGAAGGCATGAGCGAAGAATATATAGTGACACTACAGTGGTAACAGTAATGCATGAAAAGTGGGGTGCGCGACGGGCCTGGCGCCGAGGTTGGGAGATGCCGAGGCGGAGGTCTGGAGCGCGGGTTACCAACCGAACCGTGAGGTTGGGTCGCGTCGTGAACAGTGGCGGGAATAGTGTCGAGGCGAATGTCGCGAATGGTAACGGCTTACTGTTGGGTGCTGTTGGCGGGAACCGTGGTGTACGCGCTGAGCAGGGACGCGAAGTAAGGAAAAGGATTTTTCCTTACACCAGTCCAGACTTGTTTTCAGTCCTCATTCTTTCCGCTAGGGTGCTTCCCTATCACTTGCCATCATATAGAGCTAGGAGGGCTCGTATTTGTGCCTTCTTCCTTATAGTAAGGAGACATAAAGTATATAAGTATGAATGACCCACATGTCACCACAGCTCAGTACAAGTGCAAAGCATTATTGCGGATGTGATGAGCACTTCAGACTGTTTGGGGGTACAGAAAAACAATCGTATACTAGTACTTTCACAAATGAACATCAATCGTAATCGTATACTGGTACTTTCACAAATGTATACTGGTACAATCGTTATCGTATACCAGTAGTTCCACAAATGAACATCAACATGATCCCATTCACATGTTATCGTTATCTCATTCACCAGCTCCCTTCGCCTCCCTATAATATGATCCGTCCACTCGTTAGTACGCGCATCCACCACCTTCCCATACATGCACGCCAGCTCGCGCTTATACAAATCATACACAAACGTCGCGTTCCTCCTCTTGTGCTTGATCGCCGGCCAATCATACCAGTCCATTACATACTGCCAGATCTGCCGCTGCTCGTATTTCAACACATCGCCGCACCGATCGAGCGCGCCCTTGGGAAACGCGTGGCATAGGGCCTCGTGGGCGTAGTAGCCTGCTAGAGCCACGTAGATCTTGATGACGCGGGGGGCGTTGTCGCTGTTGTTGGTGGCTGTGCGGAAGGGCTGTGAGTAGGACATGTGCACGCCCACACGTGGGATGGGCACATGGTTGGTCCACTCTAGCGCCCAGTGCACCTGTGAGTTCGGGGAAGATGGAGGAGAAGAGGGAGGTGGGTGAGCAGAGTAGAGTAGGACATGTGCACGCCCTCGTGTGGGATGGGCACGTGGTTGGTCCACTCTAGCGCCCAGTGCACCTGTGGGTATGATGGAGAGGGGAGAAGGTGAGGGGGGCATGATGAACAGAGTATGACATGTGCAAGCCTACGTGGGGGATGGTATGGTATGACGTGGCATTGCATGGCATGGCATGGCATGGTATGGTAAGATATGGCATGGGATGACATGATATGATACAGCCCAAGCTCTTTCCACGTCACCACATCAAAACCCGGGTCTCTTGTCACACAAACACATCACACATCCCTGCCTGCTCGCCTGGTCCTATCCTCTCTGCCCACCTCATCCTGGGTGAATGCCCACATGATAGTGAAAGCCCTTGCTGTCACCACACAGGGATTACATTCTCTGAATCCCACATGCCTGCCTGCCTGCCTGCCTGCTCACCTCGTCCTGTGTGAAGGCCCACATGAAATTGCCCAGAGTCGTGTGGGCGATCTGCGTCCTGCTCAGCACAAGGAAGGAATGAAAAAACACACAGCCGGCACAGGGAAACCATGAGCGTGGGCAGGGCACACATCAAACTGACTTTTGCCCGTGCTGTTTGTTTGCCCATCAAGCATCAGAAGCATGGCACCTCAACCGCAACATTTTCCTGCTTTGGCTCATACCTACATACAAGACTCTCAGACGTCTCAGAGTCTTGATTCGTTTGTCCTATAGTCGTCTCAGACTCAGCTTTTCAGCTCAGCTCTCGGATATCAGCAGGACAGGCGTGCGCACAATGTCTGGTTAGAAGTGGATTCTTGAAATCCTCTCGAGCGCATGAAAACCCGACACACCTCTCGAATTTCGGCCCATGCCGTGCAAAGCTTTAGAAGGCGGCGTCAAATCTCTCTTAGCCATGCACCCAGCCCACCCACACACCTTTCAAACTTTGGCCCGTGCCGCGCAAAGTTCTGGAAGGCTGCATCAAAGCTCGCAAACTTTCCATCGCGGATGCGTGTGACGTGGTCTCGGAACTTGCGCAGCATGTCTCAGACTCTTGCTTTGCCTCAGACCCAGCTTGCGAACTCCAGCAAGACTGACTCAGGCGTGCACAGGGTTTGATTCCATTCCGATGCTTGTGATCCTCCCAGGTGCCTAAGGGCATGTAAAATTGTAACGACCATAGTGAATGGTCGACCATTCGGGTGTTTCTGACGATAGCGAAGAATTTATGGTAACGCGCATAGATTAGTCACCCCGACTTGACTGAATATCGATGGTACTTCTTGCTAAAGTTGCACCCACTGCCTCTTTGGTACCTACCTACCTACCTACCTACCGACCTTGTGCTTGCCCCCGAACGTGCCCGCCTAACCTCACTGCTTTGCTAAACACTATTTTTGTTTTCGTCCCCCGTGGATTCTACACCCCCGTTCGAATGCTCCATCTGGAAATAAACATTTCGCTTTCAATTATGGGGGTGGTTTTGTGTGGGTACCCCACGTGCTGGCGAAATGTGTAGCGATGTTCGCTGACACGTTACACGTTTCGCAATCGCCTGAAACACCCAAATGGTCGGAAAATCGCTTTGGTCATTACAATTTTACACGCCCTAAAAACCCGACGCACCTTTCGAACTTGGGCCCATGCCGCGCAAAGTTGAGGAAGGCGGCGTCAAAGCTGGCGAACTTGCCGTCGCGGATGCGCGTGACGTGGTCTCGGAACTTGGGCAGCACGTCACGGGGGAAGACAAAGGGCAGCTGCACCATGAAGTTGGCGAAGTAGTAGGGCTTGCCCACGAAGTAATGGGTGGAGGGCACCCAGTGGTTCATCTGCTTCTGCCGGCTGCCTATCACGTACGGCTTGCCGTCCGTCAGGTTAAAAAGAAGACCCGGGGTCACCTGGAGTGGGGAGAGGTGAGTGGGGGGACGACAACGGGGGATAGGAATATGAAGGGGTGGCTCGCGGTCCGTGAGATTGAAAGAGTAGCCCTGGGGTCACCTGAGAGGAGAGAGGTGAGTGGGGGGAGGACAAGGGATGATGCGGGGTTGGGGATGACGAAGGGCAGGCGCACCATCAAGGCCGGCTGGCTGTCGGGCAGATTGGAGAGCAGATGGTGTGGCGAAAGACGGGGAAAGTGGGGGAGGGGAGGATGGAGAGAGGTGGGGAGGGGGGAAGGTGGGCTGGGTGTGCCATTGGGAAAGCACCTAGTTGAAGTGTTTCATTTGCGGCTGCGGATCACATAGGGATTGGCACCCGTAAGGTCGAAACTGTCAAGAGGATGGTCTCTTCCAGCAATGATACCACATGGGGGGCTCACCTTGAGGTTGAAGATGACGTCATCATCTATGATGGCAATGTACGGAGCAGTGGTGTAGTTGTCGGCCCACAGGTAGCTCCACTGCTGGAGGATCTTTCCAGGAAGCTTCAGATAGTTCTTCTCGTAGTACACCTGGTGGTTATTCGAGGGGAAAATGGGCCAGGGAACGAACAAGGGTTGCGATTGTTGATGAGATTAGTCTTGAACAAGCACGGGCGCTAGACACCAAGTGCTGATGGTTGACAGCAATTCGAACTCTTTCAAGGCTCGTTTCATACATGCCATGATTTCGTCCGTGCTTTCACACAAACGCCACGTCTACCCTGTGCGACGACCAAATTGGAATTCATTTCCGCATTGTTGCCCGCCTGGGATGCAGAGCATTGGCTACAGATTCCAATTTGCTGAATTGGCTTAGTAGAGAGTGGTTCTCTGCAGCATTGTTACCTTACTGATGTGACCTGGACCTGGATTGACCCCCGTTGACTCTCGTTGACTCCCGTTCCCTCACCTTGATCCACGTGGGCACGATGTCCTCCACGATTTGGTTGTCCTCGTCCAGCACCAGGATGACGTCACCGATGCCACGTGGCCACATCTGCTCGATGCTGTCGAAGAGCATCTCCAGCAGGAAGAACGTATCCGACACGTAGCTGCGAATCAGCAGGTCCACTCGCGCCGGCCACAGAGGTCTAACGAGTGGAGAGGGGAAGAGGGGGCGGGTGGGGGATGGGGGAGCAGGGAAGGGGGGTTGGGATGAAGAACGTGTCCGACACGTAGCTGCGAATCAGCAGGTCCACCCGCGCCGGCAACAGGGGCCTGTTACATGGGGATGACGTGGGGAAGGGGGAGGGGGAAGGAGGAGAGAGGGCGGGGGTGAGGGGAGAGGGGAGATGGGGGAGAAGAGAGAGAATGTCAAGGAATTTACAACTTGAGCCGGATGGAAGTATCCGTCACAGCTGGAATTGAGCTCTTACTGAGCATACGAATCAACGAGCTTGCTCGTGAGCACTGAAAAACACGGTCGGTTATAAAGAAAGTAGGGAACGAAGAAGAAGAGAGAAAAGAATAGGAAAGAGAGAAAAAAAAGACAGAGACTTACTTGTAGGCGTCGTCGTAAAGCTTGAACAGCTCCTTCACGCAGTGTCCCGACTTGGTCCGACGTTTACACGATCCGAAGCAGTTGTCGTTCCCCGGACTTAGACCAATCCCTCCACACGGATCGATCTGCGTTTCGATCCCCACCCGCATCCCTCCAGAGCTCTTTTCCGACGACCCTTCCACGTCGGAAAAGCCGTCCGTAGAGCCGTACATCCCCGCTTTAACGTCCGCGTCGGCATAGTCACGATCCGTTAAGAGCGAGTTGAACGGCCGGTCTAATAGCGAGCTACCGCCGATTGAGCTGACTCGGCCGAGGGTGTTGGCGATTGCGAGGAGGACGACGAGGGTAATTCCGGACATTAGACCTAGGCATAGTGCTTGTCGGCGAGTTAAGATGAGAAATGGGGAGGCGTGGGATTTATATTGGAGGTCTTTTGGTTGCTTGGGAGAAGCAATGGCAACGGAATCCGTCTTTCTCATGGTGTCGAACGCCATCGGAAGGGAGACGGCTTGCAAGCTATGGACGGAAATGCTTAGCTGAATAAACAAACCGTTCAAGATGGTCTTTTCACGCGCGATTCTCCTTCGGTTTGTTGTCGGTCTATCGAGCCTTCTTCACGAGAGAATACCAGGAAGTTGCGTAGTTTCAGATGAGGTCTCGATGTCACTATCGCATACAGCCATGCAGCAACCGAGTCAAGAAATCCATAATGAAATCAACCTTCTTATTCCTGTAATGTCTGGATCGCGTATCGGTGTTGAGAAGTGCTTTACAGCATACTAGCACCTGCACTGCTTGAGTAAGAATTGGCGAGCTGGGTCGAAACTATGACTGCAGACTAAAATCTGTTGACGGGAGATTACAAAACGAAAGGTATCACGAGAGGGAGAGAACAAGCGCAGGGAACCGCAGGGAAACTGAATACTACCTGCCGTTAGTTGGCCGGTGGGTGGGTGACTTCAATGGTTCGTCAATTGTCACCAAGTATACTCGAGAAGCAGAATGGTTTCAAGGTTCTATTCTGCTGCTGATTACCACCACACGCACATTGCCGAGCCGGGAGAAGCCGGGAAGCGGGAAAACTTGAGCTGCGATCTTGAAAACTGGGCCACTGATTGGCTGTGGCGAATTTATGTCGGGCACGATGCAACCGACCAGAGGATGGAGCCCCGCCCCCCGCGAGAATGATGGTGATGCATGTGGCGTGGATGGTGGTTGGGGAGGGTGAGGCGGGCTGCTGAGAAACATTTGCTTGTTCACGCTGACTGGGACCTGATGGGAGTTTTTTACAAAGATGATGACGCCTTTTGTAACATTTAAACAATAATTCAGAGTGTATTACTGCCCTTGTTTCGGGGCCGACTTTTTCTGCCCCAGTTGTGGTGTCGGTCGGCCAGTCCTTTCCATGGGTTACGCTGTAGCACCTGCGAATGGAGTCATCCAGGTAAGGCACCTGAAAGACTTCCAGATCAGAGGCCAAGGTTACGTCTCTTGGATGAACAAGAGGTCACATCTTGCCGTCGTCCCTGCCCTAGTTGCGAAAATTTCCGTTTTGAACCGGGCTCGGCTGCCATTGACCGCGTCAACAGTCAACGGGTAACCGACAAGAAACATGGAAAACGGCATTTGTGACGGTGGCGGCCTACCTGCGTTCCGGGACAGGTTGAATCAACCTGGGGAAGGCAGAACTGTCTCCACAAACGGGTTTCAACTATACATTACGAAAGAGACTAGTTCCTTATTGAGCTGTAAATTACTCAACCATTTTCAAACAGAAATTTAGTGAAGCAGGGAATTGGGTTGGGTGTTAAGAGTATGGGTTGCTTTCTCTAGTCTTGACAAAAATGCTACACAATGGGAAAATCGGCCATCAAAGAAGCAACTACGCCTGATTCGAAGGAATACATTTCTTTCTCAAATCCTCCACCAACATCTTGCGGTTATTCTCCACCTCATCCGTCCTCCAATCATGCGTTCTTGCCAACACAACCTGGCTATACATACACTGCAGCTCCCACTGGTACCAATCATACAAAACCTTTGCACCTTGCACATGCTTTCGTATCATGGGCCAATCATCCCAATCCATGGCATACCTCCATATCTGGTCCTGCGGCCCAGCAACATCCTCGCAGTTTCTCAACTTCCCTTCAGGAAAAGCATGGCACATGCCTTCATGCGCATAGAACCCCACAACGTCAACATATGCCTTGGCCAATCGGTGCTCTGGGCCTGAATGGCCAGTGATGTTTCGGAACTTCATCGTGTAAGGGATATGCACACCCACTCTTGGTAATGGTGTAACTGGTGTCCACTCAAGCACCCAGTGAACCTGATGTCAAAGAAAGAAGAATAGAAAGAGTGTGGAAATGTTTACACAAAGTTGGGAGCTTGGGAAGGAGGCGTTGGAAGGGGCATATCGAAGAGGGCAAGGAGTGGGAGAAAACGACGTAAAAAAGGGACAAGTAGGTGGGTGAAAGTGTCTGCATCTGTTTGGTTTGGCATGGATGTGTGTGGCTTGGCATGCAAGGCATGGATGTGTTTGTTTCCCATCACCAAGGAAGCAGCAAGTCAGCACTTACAGAGTCATTGGCAAAGAACCACATGTAGTTGCCGAGTGTTGTGTGCGCTATCTGTGTCCTGCAATAAAGGAAACATGTAGACGCGTTGGGCAGAAACAGGAAACATAAAGCAAAACGAGACAAGAGATTGACGGAAGATGGAGTGGGGGGCAAAGATAAGAAACACCAGAAAACGAAACTGAAAGCAGAAAAGAAAAGAAAGAAAACAAAAGAATAGAAATCATATCCTAGTCTACTTGGTGCAGAGCTCTCACTTGGCAAAGGATGGCCCGTGATCTGCAAAGTACTTGACAGCCGCATTAAAGTCCTTCTTGTGCCGCTTGGCTGCCCTCCTTCTGAACTCTGGCAGCACGGATCGTGGGAAGACAAAGGGCAGCTGCACCATGTAGTTGGCGTGGTAGCGGCCGACAAAGTAGTAGGAGGACGGCTTCCAGTTGTCTGACTGCGTGTTCTTGCTGCCTATCACGTACGGCTTGCCATTGGTCAGGTTGAACAGCAGCCCTGGGGTCACCTGGGAGGAGGGTGGTTGAAAGGTGTTGAGAGGGGTGATGGGAGGGCTTCCAGTTGTCTGACTGCGTGTTCTTGCTGCCGATCACGTACTGCTTGCCATTGGTCAGGTTGAACAGCAGCCCTGGGGTCACCTGGGAGGAGCCAGGCATTGAGCCATGCATTAAGCTAGAGAATTGAGAGCCACCCATTGGCCAGGAATCGGTTAGAAATTGAGTCGGTCAGTGAGACAATCGTCAGCCAAGCATCGAGCCAGAACTTGCACCAGAGAATTAGCCAGCCAGGCAATGAGCTGGACACTGAGCCAGCCAGCAAGGCAATGAGCCATACATCAGATATGATGGTGAGCCGTGGTGCTGTGGTGAAGTTGTCGGTCCATGAGTGCATGACACATCATCCCTTTCAGCAATACCATCTGCGGGCCTGCGGCTCACCTTGAGGTTGAAGATGACGTCATCGTCTATGATGGCAATGTATGGTGCAGTGGTGTAGTTGTCGGCCCACAGGTAGCTCCACTGCTGCAGTATTTTCCCGGGCAAATCCAGAAAGTTCTTCTCATAATAGATCTGACTGGGGAAAACGTGAAGAGGAACAAAAAGACAAAAAGAATTTGTGAAAATGCAAAAGAGTAGTGTGGTGATAACAGACTAATTGCTCTGATGGACCCACGTTGACCCGCGGTGACTCACTTTGACCCAACTTGACTTGACCCCCCTCTAACTCACCTTGACCCAGGGCGGCACGATGTCTTCCACGTGGCGATCGCTCTCATCCAGCACCAGAATGACGTCACCAATGCCAGTTGGCCACATCTGCTCGATGCTGGCAAAGAGGAACGCCGCGAGGAAGAAGTTGTCCGACACGTAGCTGCGAATTAGGAGGTCCACCTGTGCCGGCCACAACGGGCGGTAAGCTTCGTCATATAGCGAGAGCAACTCCTTCACGCAATACCCCGATTTCGTTCGCCTATGGCACCTCCGATCGTAGCACCTACTGCTGCTGCTGCTGCTGCTGCTGCTGCTACTGCCACCAATTCCCCCACACGGATCGTGCAGCCGCTCCAACCCGTCCGCCGTGTAGTACCTCTCGTCACTCTCACCTCCACTCTCGCTATTGTCACCTGAACCCCAATTGTCACTCCCCTCTGAAACTCCATCTGCTACCTTTGTTACGAGGTTCGAACCTGTACTGTTCAGGGTCGAATTATCGGCGTCAGTTGTGTCAGCTGCAAGCTCATTCCAAAACTCAGATTCGTCAGATTCGCCAGATTCGGCTGGTTTACTCTCTGATAACGTGTCCGTTAGCAATGCAGAACTGTTGCTTGCGATTGTTGATAATTGCGACGAATTCGCTGTAGCTGAAGGGTTTTCAGGTGACGTGGAATCCACTGGGTCAGAGATGAGGGTGCGACGTCGAGACGAGTTGACGGAAAACGTCAGTGCGATCAGTCTGCCCCGAGTAAGGTTCTCGAAGCCTAACGAGAAATGAACATAACTACTACATGCATATATCGGTGGTGGTTGACGCGACGATGAGATTCGACCGAGCTGGAAAGCAAGCGACAGGATAATCATGAGAATCACGGAGGAGCCGATAACCAGACGCGTTGCCTGTGGCCGCGAAATTATTACAGCTCCGGAAGAAGCGACTCCAGCAGCGTCATCGTGACGATGGTCGTCATTCAGTCGCTTCATCCCGTATCCAATGCGAGGAGCCTTCTTTATCAGCTCAAAAGTCTGAATTTATCCACGCAAGCTGCTCTGACGCAGGAACGGGAAAAGACCCCGCTGGGTTTGCGATTGCGATGAACGCGAATAAGGGGACGCTTGCTTGCTTGTTCAGACGCAAGACCTGACAAACAGCGGTTGTTGTAAGCGGAATGCCCTTCTTGGCCACAACCCAACTGAAAACTTCTTTCTGGTCAAGAAACGTTTGACGGGGTTTAGAGTGGTTGGCCATGTTCGGAAACGGTTGTCGAACTTCACCGCTTTGAACATTTGTGCATCAGATTGGTTTTCCACAGTTGAACGAATTTTACATCTCGAAGGGAAGGTTGAAAACAGCAAAATACGGCAAGTTGAAACTTTACGATGAAAGATTCTGTATCTCACAACTGTTATCCAGCATTCCACAATTTTTCTACCCAAGAGAAGTGGATTATTCCGCCCCTATGGGTGAAGAAAAAATACAGTCTGACCTCACACTGCAGTTGCTCTTCAGTACTTGTTGGAGTGTGGAACGATGCAGTTTTTCGTCAATTCCTTCACCAGCTCCTGCCGCTTCCCCTCCACATCCCCCTTCCATTCCCCTGTCTTCGCTCCCACCACGCGCTCATACATACACTTCAACTCCCACTTATAATCATCATGCATCACCGTTCCGTTCACCGTCCCGCTCTGGAAAATCGACCACTCACTCCCGCTCAGCGCATACCTCCAAATCTGGCCCTGCTCCCTCGAAGCATCCTCGCAATGTGCCAATTCCCCTTCGGGGAACGCGTTACACAGCCCTTCGTGCGCGTATGTTCCAGTCAAATCAACGTAGGTCTTTACGAGTCGTTGGGGAGGGCCAGCGGCGGGGCCAGATGCGTTGCGGAACTCGTGGGTGTGGGGGATGTGCACTCCGACCCGCGGGATGGGCGTGCGAGGCTCCCATTCAAACGCCCAATGCGCCTGCGAGGGGGGTGGCAGAAGGTGGAATGTTCAAGTAAATTACAAAATCACCCAGCGGCAGAGCCAGAGGCGTTGCGGAACTCGTGGGTGTGAGGGATGTGCACTCCGACCCGCGGGATGAGTGTGCGAGACTCCCACTCCAAGGCCCAATGTGCCTGCCATGGGGTCAGCAGGAACCAATGGCATGAGTACTTTGAGTTGACTGTAAAAACACCTGGACTCCCACTCAAAGGTGGTGCGGAATTGATGGCAACAGAGTGTGAGGGACATCACACAGAGTATGAAGGATGATTGGGCCTTGACCCTACCAGCTCCTAGGCGGAAAACCACATTAACTTGATTCAGAACTGCCTAAATTAGAGCAACCGGGGCTTACCGAGTCGTTGGCAAAGAACCACATGTAGTTGCCAAGAGTCGTGTGCGCAACGTGCGAGCGGTCCGCAATGGGCCCGCGCACCGACCAGAACTTGAAGGCCGCGTCAAAGCTCCCCCCGAACTTGCGGCCGTGCAGCTGCCCCACGTGGTCTCGGAACTTGGGCAGCACGGCACGCGGGAAGACAAAGGGCAGCTGCACCATGAAGTTGGCGAAGTAGTGGCCCGGACCCACGAAGTAGCGCGAGGAGGTGCGCCAGTTCTTGCCCTGCGTGCTCTTGCTGCCGATCATGAACGGCTTGCCGTCCGTTAGATTAAAAAGCAGCCCGGGAGTCACCTGAAGAAGACAGGGGAAGAGGGAAGGGGGAGGAACCGGGGAAAGGGAGGTAGGAGAGAGAAGAGGAGGGGAATTGGGGGAGCATGGGGTGAGGAGAAGGTGAGGGCGATTGGTGGTTTGGATGAGGGGAGTGCGAGGGGTGCGAGGTGGCAGCGCGAGGAGGAGAGCCAGTTCTTGCCCTGCGTGCTCTTGCTGCCAATTATGAACGGCCTGTCGTCCGTTAAATCAAAGAGCAGTCCGGGAGTCACCTGGTGACGGGTGGCGGTTTGGGGGAGGGAAGGAGTGACTCATGGGGTAGTTGCAGAGAAAAAAAAAGGGTGGGGAGGAGAAGTCAGAACTCGGATGCGCGCGCACACACGTGCACGAATGCACCAAGCATGTGTGTGCACGAATGCACCAAGCATGTGTGTGCGCACATACCTTGAGGTTGAATGAAAATGACGTCATCGTCTATGATGGCGATGTACAGGGTTGTGGTGAAAGTGTCAGTCCGACCCTTGAGGTTGAAGATCATCATTCCAGCAGTCCAGCAGGGGCTCACCTTGAGGTTGAAGATGACGTCATCGTCTATGATGGCGATGTAGGGCGCGGTGGTGTAGTTGTCGGCCCACAGGTAGCTCCACTGCTGCACCAGCTTGGGTGTCAGGCCCAGGTAGTTCTTCTCATAGTAGATCTGGTGAGCACTCGAGGGAAAGGGGAAGGACACGCGAGGGGAAGGCAGGGGAGGGAAGGTAGGACTTGAAGGCCTGTCATGGGAGGGCGTTGACCTTGACCATAATTGACTGCATAGACCCACCTTGCCCTGCATTGACTGCGTTGACTCACCTTGACCCTGGGAGAGTGCAAGGGACACCCAGCATGACGCACTTTGACGCACTTTGACCCACCTTGACCCACCTTGACCCACCTTGACCCGCGTTGACTCACCTTGACCCAGGGCGGCACGATGTCTTCCACGTGGCGATCGCTCTCATCCAGCACCAGGATGACGTCACCAATGCCAGCTGGCCACATCTGCTCGATGCTGGCAAAGAGGAACGCCGTGAGGAAGAAGTTGTCCGACACGTAGCTGCGCACCACCAGGTCCACCCGTGCGGGCCACAGGGGACTGAGGGGGGCAGGATGGAAGGATGGGAGTTGGAAGGATGGAAGGGGGTGGGGATGGGCGGAGGAAGAAGTTGTCCGACACGTGGCTGCGCACCACCAGGTCCATCCGCGCGGGCCAGAGAGGGCTGAGGGCCGAGGGGGGGTTGGGGGAGATGGGGGAGATGGGGGGGAAGGGGGAGCAGGGAAGGGGGAGTCGTGAGGAAGAAGTTGTCCGACTCATAGCTTCGCACCACCAGGTCCACCCGTGCCGGCCACAGTGGGCTGAGGGAAGACGTGGGTGCAGAAGGGGGTGTTCAAGGGAGGTGGGGAAGGAGCGTGGGGTGGCAGGTTGAACGGCAATGAAGAGGTGCTCTCAAGCTCACTTGAAGGTGTAAAAAGTACCGCTTCTTACACCTTCAAGCTCACCCGAACGTTTAGTTGGATTGGAATCACCTGTAAGCTTCGTCATAGAGTGAGAGAGAAGCAGCTACTTGACACAGTAACCCGCCCTGTATTCCTGTAGACGCGACGCTGCGATAATCTGAAGGTATAGGAGCTCCCTGAACCTTTCGTTTGCCTCACCTGCACGCCTCATCATGTAGCGAAAGCAGCTCCTTGACGCAGTACAGGTGAGCCCAACGAAACTGCGTCAGGTACCCCGACCTTGACACAGCTCCTTGACGCAGTACCCCGACCTCGTTCGCCTTTGAACACTGCGGCAACTTCAAGGTATAGAAAGCACCTGACCGTTTCGTTGGGCTCACCTGTACGCTTCATCATAGAGCGAAAGCAGCTCCTTCACACAGTACCCCGACCGCGTTCGCCTGTGGCACCGATTGTAGCACCTCCGATTGCCGCTGGTACCGGGATTCCCGCTGACACCGCCAATTCCCCCACACGGGTCCTGCAGCCGCTGCAACCCCTCCGCCGTGTAGTACGTCGTTGGGTCAACCGTCGTTGCGGGGATCGCTGCTCCGTCAGCAGGCGCTGACGTGTACACTGCAGGAGCTGACGTGGCGGCTGGTGATGTGGAGCTTGCGGCGTCTGACGCACCAGCAGCTGTAGTAGCCTCAACCGTAGCAGCAGGCGTGGCAGGCTCACCAGCAGAATCAGCAGCAGCAGCTGATCCGCCAGCCTCACCACCAATAGCACCCCCTCCCCCTTCCCCACCAGCACCATTCGCAGCAGCGGCAGCCGCAGCAGCCGCTGCTTCTGCTGCTTTTGCTGCGTCGTCGTCAGCAGCAGCAGCCTGATCAGCGGGGACCTCAACCACCTCCTTGATATCTCCGCCGCTCTTACTCTCCTCTTTCGCCTCCTCCTTCACCTCTACTCTTACCTCTGCTTGCGGCTTTTTCTTGCGAGGAGCAGGCTTTCTGGCGGGAGCACGTCTTTTGGCGGGAGCAGGCTTTTCCGCGCGAGCAGGCTTTTCCGCGGGAGCAGGATTTTCGGCGGGAGGAGGATTTTCGGCGGGAGCAGTTTTTTTGGCGGGTTTGGCCGGTCTGGGACGACCGCGGGATCTCAGCACGCGACGCCGAGGGGTTTCAGGGGAGAATAATGTTGAGGCATCGCTTAACGAGACTGCGGGGAGATTGTTCAGGTGTGACGAATCAACGGCTGCGATTTCTCCGATGGACATTCGGCCGAGGTGGAAGGCAGCGGCGAGCAGCAGCACGAGAACCACGGTCGACATGGCGACAAGACGCGCCGCTTGAAGGTACGACAGCACGACGATCGGAGAGCCGTTCGAATCATTCGAGCCGTTCGAGCGGTTCGAGCCACGCGAGACATTCGAGCCATTAGGGTCGGCATTTTGTTGGTTCGACGAGGGGTGAGGCTGAGACGACATAGTCGCTTTCGTGTCGTCGGAAGATAAGCTACGCTGCGAAGCCATGGCTTCCATGCCCGATAAGAACCACGGAGACGACAATGCGAGGTACGCCTTAGATCAGGCAATAATTAAATAACAAATGTCGCAACTACTAATACTTAGTCAATCTAAACTCGTCGGTAGCCGTTGTACAGCTAGCGAGAAAGCACGCCAACGAAGTGTTCAAGGAAATTAAACTAGGCGGACCGGACAGCCAGATCCTGGCCCTGATTTCGCCTGACGGCAATGACGGACGGCATGGCGAGGTGGTTGAGCAAACAGGAGCAGACAGAAGCAAGTGTTGTTATCCCTATGATCATCATGAGCGTTGATGTGTTGAGTCCTGATTTCTGAAACAGGAGGTCGAGGGCGTGTTTCAAGTTTGATGCCGCTCCGTCCAATTTGGTTTGGTACGGACGGACGATCCATTGGATGGCAGGAGCAACTGGTGCAAACGGCTCTAGTTGTAAGGAAAAACCCTTTTCCTTACAGGGGTTTACTCAACCGCGTACAACCCCAACTTTCGGAAGTGCACGTTCGGCCACTTCGCTTGCTGCCGAAGCAACCTCGCGTCGCCTTCGGCCTTTCCTTTGCCCAACCTGCACCCAACCTCGTGTTCCCGAGGTTCCCGCCTAGCTAGGTTGGCCCACTATATTAGCCGGTGCCTTCATTGTATTGTCAGTTCATTGAGTCACATCTTCGTTATTCGTTATTCCGCGCACTCTCTTTTACAACTCATAACACCTGGTATCAGAGCTACTTTCCTAGTTCACCCCGCTTTTCGAGGGTAGTTTGGTGGCACGGGTGTGGTCGGTATAGTGGACTACACGACGGTTGGCTGCAAGGTTTGTTAATTCAATCTTGCCCGACTCCGATAGTTCGTGTTTTCCACTCACCGGAGGGCCACGGATACCCCTCTGCCCACCAGACGAAGCGTGCGACTCATGGACCAGGAGACATTGAACAAGATGCTGGCGCAAATGGCAGAGCTACAGGCAACAGTGCAGACTCTATCGGCAGAAGTGACAACACTACGAGGAGAAAACGCCGAGCTACGCCAGACGCGAGGTGAAGCACGTCAGGAGTCGCCCGATGAAGAAGGCGAGGGCAACAGTCAAGCGGTGAGCAACCCGTTGGACGCGCTCACACGTGATTTCAAAGAAGAGGATAGGCAGCGAGCGGCAGCGACGCCAATTGCAGTAACAACGATCAAGATTAAACCCGTCAACCCGCCCCCGTTCAACCCTATGGACAAGACTACTACAGTCAAGGGGTGGCTTTTCGGCGTTGAAGTCTTCTTCACTGCAGCAGGCGTGAACGACGATGCCACGCGTATTAATTGCGCGGTTTCTCTCCTTCGAGGCGCAGCGCTTGAGTGGTGGCGCCGAACCTTGGACACGGGGACCCCGACAGGTGTGACACATGCGGCAGACGGGACTTCAACGACGGTTAATCAAGTGGCAGCACCGATATTCGGCGTGACCAAGATACGCACGTGGAAGGAGTGGGGCGCAGCCTTACGAGATCGATTCGAGCACATATCCGGCTCGGAACAAGCTCGCATGAAGCTGCGTACCTGGTCGCAGTTGGCATCTGTCCAATACTACACAGCAACGTTCATGGCCCTCACCGACCAAGTGGACGACATGTCGGAAGCGGAGCGGTTAGACAAGTACGTCAGCGGCCTTAAATACGAGATACAGTATGAGGTGCGCCGATGCCGCCCGACATCGTTCCTGGAAGCAGCACGGTTGGCAGAATCCACGGACGCGCTGATGCAGTACGCGAGGTCGAGTTTCCGGGAGGGAAATCGTTTTCGCGGCCAGACCCAACGGGCCACGATCAACGGAGTCCATGCACCAGACCGCTCCTACACAGGGTTGTGTTATAAGTGCGGGAAGCCGGGTCACAAATATGCATACTGCCCCGAGAAAACGCCGGCGAAGAGGAACGACGGGAAAGAGCCGGGAAATGGGAAGAGTTAGTAACAGACGGGCCCCTTACTGACTGTGCTCTGTCGCCCGAACACCATCATCCCCACCGAGTCGTGGTTCCGATTCATGCAATCGATCGCACTCGGCCGAATAACGGGGATAACCATGTGGATCACCCTGTGCTGGTCGTTGGCAAAGTGTTAAAAAATTACTTGAAAATGTTCGTCGACGGAGGGGCCAGCCATAGCCTCTTCAACTTAGCGACAGCAAAAAAATGCAAGCTGCAACTTGACAGGTGTCTGCCCGAAATCGACGCTCGCCTCATGGATGGGACGCCTCTGGCGATTTTGGAAGAAACACGGACGGTGCGGATCGAATGCGGCGACGATTTCGGCTTCAGCATGAAGTTTCTCGCGACAACGTTGGACGGCTGCGACGTGCTGCTGGGACGTGATTGGCTGCGACGGCACAACCCCGTCATCGAATGGACAACGGGATCGTGCAGCATCAGCAAGCACGAGGGGCTCATTAAATTGCCTGCATGGACACTTGACTACACCCAAGCCCCGTGCGTCAAAGCTATCACTATTGCTCGCCACTTCAACCGAGGCGCGCAGCTGTTCGCCGTATGTTTGCGCGAGTTGGCAACCGACACCGACGGAAAGGACATCGAGAAGCTGTGCGCAGCTGTACCACCTGATTTAGCGGAGCTGATTCGACAGTACTCGGACAACTTCCCCGACGATCTGCCACCTGGACTGCCACCCGAACGCCCCGAGGACCACAAAATCCAGCTGGAGCCTGGCGCGCAGCCGACTGTTCGTACACAGTGGCGGTTGACCCAACCAGAACTCGAGGAGCTGCGACGACAAATTGAGGGACTGTTGGAGAAGGGGTTTATTCGACCCAGTACATCCCCCTTCGCAGCCCCGATCCTGTTCACGCCGAAAAAGGATGGCGGGCTTCGCATGTGTATCGACTATCACGCGCTCAACCGGGTGACCATCAAATCTCGCTACCCAATCCCACGCACCGACGACCTCCTCGATCAACTTCGCGGTGCTCGCTACTTTTCGAAAATCGACTTGCGTGGCGGTTACCACCAGATTCGGGTCTTCGCCGACGACTGTCACAAGACCGCGTTTCGCACCCGCTACGGAAGCTACGAATTCACAGTGATGCCGTTCGGCCTCACAAACGCGCCTTCAACATTTCAACTGACCATGAACAGGATTTTCCGGGAATTTCTCGACAAGTGTGTGATCGTCTATTTGGACGACATTCTGATTTTTAGCAGGACAAGAGAACAACACCTCCACGACCTCGACGCAGTGTTTAAGCGGTTGCAGGAGAACCGCCTCATCACCAAGGGCTCTAAGTGCGAGTTCTTTAAGCAGAAGTTGGAGTTTTTGGGGCACATCATCTCACGCGACGGCATCAAAATCGACCCGGCTAAAATCAAGACTATTCAGGAGTGGAAGTCCCCGACTAACATCACGGAACTTCAGAGTTTTCTGGGCTTCGTGAATTACGTCAGGCGGTTTATCCCGAATATGGCGGGGATAACCGGCCCGCTGACCGACCTGCTGCACAAGGACAGGAATTTCGTGTGGGGGGAGGAAGCTGAGGCGGCTTTTCAGGAGTTGAAGAATTTTCTCGTTTCCCCTACGGTTTTGCGCATCGCCGACCCATCGAAGCCGTTCGAAGTCGTCACCGACGCCTCAGATTTCGCCATCGGAGCTGTACTCCTCCAGGATTTCGGGAACGGGTTGCAGCCGATCGCCTACGAGTCACGCAAACTGCAGGCAGCTGAGCGCAACTACCCGATTCACGACAAGGAGATGCTCGCCATAATACACGCGTTCAAGCTGTGGCGTTGCTACTTGGTAGGCGCCGACGTGACTGTTCGCACGGACCACAAGTCCCTACAGTACCTGCGAGCTCAGCCCAACCTCAACCCGCGACAAATTCGGTGGCTGGACTACATGGAGAGTCATTTCACCTACCACATCACGTATAAGAAAGGGGCGAATAACATCGCCGATGCCCTTACTCGACCGACAGTTCAATCCGCTGCAGTGCTCATCACCCATTCGAACCCGCTACTTACGGGACTATTCACCCACGGCTACACTACGGACCCGTTCTTCACGACTGGGAATCACCGGCAGGCGACGACGCAAAAGGGGAACTATTACCTAAAGGCCGGAACTGACCGGATTTGGGTTCCCGCTTACCGACTGCTGTGTGAACTCCTCATTCAGGAGGTCCATGATTCTAACCTTTCCGGACATTTCGGGGTTGATAAAATCCAGAAGCTGTTGCACCGTCAATATTATTGGCCTGATTCTGCTAACGACGTGCAGCGATATGTGTCCTCATGCAGGGTGTGCCAAGCCATGAAATCGACACGTCAGCGGCCAGCTGGACTGCTGCAACCCCTCGAGCCACCCGAACGACCGTGGCAACAGGTGACGATGGACTTCGTCACGGGGCTGCCAGCTGGGCCGTCCGGCAACGACGCGGTTCTCGTCGTCGTCGATCGCCTCACGAAGATGGCGCACTTCGTACGACAATCACAGCCGAAGAAACTGCGCGCCTCTTCATCTCAACAGTCGTGCGACTGCACGGAATCCCCGCGGCGATCATCAGCGACAGGGACCCGAAGTTCACATCGAAATTCTGGAAGGAGACGTGGGCGCAGTACGGCACGAAGCTATAGTTCTCATCGGCATACCACCCGCAAACGGACGGCCAGACCGAGCGCACCAATCAGACTATGGAGCAGCTGATCAGGACAAACTGCTCGGACCCCACTCGCTGGGAAAACTCGCTCGCCATGCTGGAGTTTGCGTTCAACAACGCCCCGTCCAGCACAACTAATCACTCCCCGTTCTTCTTAAATTATGGGATGGACCCGACGGTGCCTACAACGACTACACTCGACAACCCGATCCCGAGGTCACAAACATTTGTGACGGAACTTCAGGAAGTTCGCGAAAAGGCTGCGGACGCAATTCGCAAGGCGAATACCACTTCCCGTAAATACACCGACCTTCTACGACGGGAACTCGTCTTGGCAGCTGGGCAACTAGTGCTACTTGACACGAAGAACCTGCACCTGCCCGGCCCATCGAAACTACGGCCACGATTTTGTGGGCCTTTCAAGATCATCAAGATGGTGACACCTGTCACCGCGAAGCTGCTGCTACCCGACGATTGGCGTATACATGATGCCTTCCATGTCAGCCTCCTTCGCAAGTTCGTGCCTGCCACGACGGACATCGCGCGCCAGAACGCCACCCCGACAGCCCGACCTGTCCCAGAACCGACGCTTGACCCGTCCAAGATTTTGGCGCATCGTGTTCGGCTCGACGCTTCTGGACGCCACGTGGATTTTTTAATCCGCTGGACTGACCGCACCAGTGAGGACGACACTTGGGTGCCATCCGCCTCGCTTGAAGCTTCTCCGCTTCTTGGTGATTACCTCGCCCGCAGGCGAGCTGCGGATATTGACCACCTTTCTTAAAGGGGGGGGTAGTGTAAGGAAAAACCCTTTTCCTTACAGGGGTTTACTCAACCGCGTACAACCCCAACTTTCGGAAGTGCACGTTCGGCCACTTCGCTTGCTGCCGAAGCAACCTCGCGTCGCCTTCGGCCTTTCCTTTGCCCAACCTGCACCCAACCTCGTGTTCCCGAGGTTCCCGCCTAGCTAGGTTGGCCCACTATATTAGCGCGTGCCTTCATTGTATTGTCAGTTCATTGAGTCACATCTTCGTTATTCGTTATTCTGCGCACTCTCTTTTACAACTCATAACACTAGTAGTAGTAGAGGCAAAAACATGTCACTCAGTGCGGAAAAATATTGGTCACTTTCCTCAGGCAGATGCAATTAGATTGATGGACACAAAATTTCTTGACCTCGGCATTGTGAAGTGGCTCAGCTGTTAGCTGTCACCCAGAGGAACCCAGGAGAACCCAATGCCAGGGTTTAAAACTAGCAAAGACAGTGTATACGTGGGTATTGATGAAGAAATACATCTACAAGTCATTCATAAGTGTAATGCCGTATTTAGCAATTCCACAATTAAAATTGAGTGAAGCATCAATAGCAAAAATACATACAAAACCTCAGACACAAACTGACACTGGGGGATCTAACACACCAACCCGAGCAGAGAACTTCCGATGATGACAAGTGTTGCTTCTTCCACAAACGCTGCACACAAACCTCTGCCAAAAATGTGTGGTTCCTTGGCCCTCATACAGGACCAGGACTAGAATCCCCCCCCCACTCTATTTCAAAATTTCCAGGTTATCAAGCCCTTGGGTGACCTTCATACTCGAGATGACATCCCCCACTTTAAGATCGGCAAGGAAGTCGGCGTTCTCCACAATGTAACCAAAGACAGCGTAACGGCCATCGAGAATGTTGGCGCTGCTGGGGGTCAGCTCGCTCTCCTTCAGCAGCCAGAAGATCTGGCTGGAAGCACTGTCATTGTCAAACTCCTGTTGATCAGTCAGAAAGAAGCAGAGGACGGCCATTAGCATCCAACCAAATCAGGCTTTCTTGGAGGTAGAATGAGATTGCAACCTGAGAACTGACATTGACATGTTGGCGACGGTACAGAGTGAGGAAAACGTGAGAGTGCACAAGACTCACAAATCGGACATACCTCTCGGGCCATGGCCATGGTGCCGAAGGCGTTGAATGGAATTTTGGGGAGAGCTCGGTACCTGCCCAGGTCCTGCAGCACATCAGACAGGCAGACGGGTTGAGATGGGTTAGAATGACAGGGACTGTAATACGCACGACTCATGGACGGACAGTGCTATGGACGGACAGTACTACGAACGGATAGGCTGAAACAAGAGCTAGCAAAATGCATCGCCCGCAAGTCTTGGGGTGTAACACAACTGTACTGACTCAAGATGTCGTACAACTTGATCAGAAATGAGAGTCAGAAGCGAGTGGTTCCATGGCCCATAGTGCTTGATGAGTTGCAGCTTCCCATGTCTTGTTTCACAGCAAGTCTCACTCACCTCCGAAGTGTCATGGTACTCGGGTGCCTTGTCCCCCTCTACGAACACCTCCAGAGGACTTAGAGGCGCCTCAAAACACGTCTTGTGTCACTGCAAGTCTCACTCACCTCCAAGGTGTCATGGTACACGGGCTCCTTGTCCCCCTCAACGAACACCTCCAGAGGAATCCTGCGCTCCTTGCCAGTGGCGGGATCCACAAAGCCCTCTGCGGGCCCCTCGGGGTCTCCAGTCTGCACCACAAAGCCATCAGCTGCGAGGAAAGCAGCACGCGAAGGAGTAGGAATGGGTGGGGGGTTGGGGGAGGGGAGAGGGAAGTTAAGGTACTCGTAATCCAATGCTGCAAGCTTGGGTTCCCACGGGACGTTGTTGAGAGAAAGAGCAGAAGGTGGCACACGGCAGAAGAACACCAGTTCGCACCTCTTTGAATCTCCATGCCGTCATAGAAGCCCCGCTTCACCAGGTCCACGAAGTTACCGCTGGTAACCGGCGCATTGTAACCGTCGACAACAACCTCAAAGACGACCTCGGGGAGGTTAGGGTTGTTGATCGGGCGCACTGTCATCTCCACATTCGCGCGCCCCTTGAGCACAGGGTACCCCTTGAACTCCGCAGGGATCTGGTATGGGAATGCCCCCACCATCGCCTCTTCAATGCTGCAGGTGGAGGGACGAACGGAAACACAGCGAGATGACGTTTATCTAAAGAAGCCTTGAGCACAGCGGGTGCGTTTTTAACTTCGCCGGGATGTCATATTGGAATGACCACACCATCCCCTTGAATGCTGCAAAGTGGGGCATGGAGGGTGCGAGGGCAACGTAGTGCGAACACGACCGTTTCCGTCCCGTTCCAGTGTCAAATTGCGGAGGACCCTCCCCTGTCGCCTTCCCCCCCAATTTGCCACTCAACCCGAACTCTCTTTTCCCATACTCCCACCCAGCCGTCACTCTCTCGCCGACTATGACCAGCAATTATTTCCGCTTGAACTGGATGTCCTCCTTCCTCGCAGTCTCGTTCAAGAAACTGATTCGCACGACCGAAAACGCGTCACTCCCTAGACGTCACCTCTGTGGAAACTACCTTATCCCTCCTCCCGCACTCACTCGCCGACGATAGCGAGCAGCTCCTTCTGCTTGGGCTGGATGCTGTCGCGGTTGCGGCGCTCCACGATCTTCTGGAACTCCTGCAGCCCGTCCTGCAGCTTCTCGATCAGCTCGCGCCCCTCCGCCTTGTTCTTCTCCGCCACGTCCGCCAGAATCTTGTCCTTGCTCTGGTTCAGCACGCGGTTTGCCTGACGGATATTCTGTGCACGGGCGAACAGGTGAAAAAACAAGGAACAGGAGAGGCGGAGAGGGGCGTGGGAGAGGGGAGGGAAGGGGGTGGGTGGGGGAGGGGAGGGAGTACAGTGGGGGCCAAAGGAAAAGGGGGGGAATGGAATGAGAATGGTTTCCTGAACACGGAGTGAAACGGGGAGAGGAAACGAAACGCAGACAGTTGGTACGCCACTCGCCTCCTGCTAATTATTCGAAAAGCTGCGGACATTCGAGTGACTGGACGTATCCCTTCGCGTAAGAACTAAAAAGGGAACATGATTGGGCTTACAAACTTGAATTTTAGAAGTCCATGGTGATTACCCTCTCGACTGGGTCGAATGCCTTCGAGCCAGGCAACCTGAGGTCCTCGGTGATGGCTTCCAGCGGCTGCTGCACCTCCTTAATCGCCTGGTTGTTGATAGGCAGCGCGTACCGGAGCAGCGCGCGAGCATCCTTGATTGGCTGACCCTTGATAAGCACGCCGACGTCAGGGATGGCCGGGTTGATGGCGGGAGAGCCGGTTGTGAGAGCAACGGCATCCATCGGACCAGCGGTGAGGGAGACAGTCGTCGCTACTGCCGCCAGGCCGGTGGCCAGCTTCGAGAAAAGGTTGCTGGAAGGAGTTGGCTGGACAGGGAGAAACGACGTGAAGCATAATTTGATAACTGTGAGACATCCCTGAAACGCGGAGTTGAAAGGTGAATTTGTGACGACGGAATGCGGAAGAGGCGGAAGAGAGGAAGTCATGATGTCGAGAAGTCAGTGACTAAAGACCGTTCGCGAATACTCCGGCATGTCATGGGCATTCCGACATTCCGACACGTCGTGAACATGCCGACACAAGTGTCAATTTCACAACAAATATGCATCGTGACGACGTCGTTACAATAGAGCTACCTCATTGTCTTTAGAAGACGCTGACGCGGACACGGAGAGCCGCGTCTGGTTCAGCTTCTTGGAAACACCGGCGTGCTTCTTCACTCCCTTGCCTACAGCAGCTCCGACAAGAGCACTAGCTCCGCAAAGGGTCGCAGCTTGAGTCGCCATGGTTCACAAATGTTTTGATGGCTAGCAAACACAGGAGAAATCAAGCACCTAGAAGCACCAGCAAGTCCTGAAGCAAAAACTTTTTGAATGCGCTTCTTGAAATGCCTTCGTCCTGGTTATGTGATGCTCACAGGCAAAGCTCAGTTCCTTCCAGCTTGCTCTGCCGAGGTGAGAAATTGGTTCGAGCCAGAATGTCTCTTCTCTGGTCAATTTTCTGGGCCTGGCCAGCCTACACCACGCGTGCATCATTCTTCAGGCAGATTTTCTTGATGCCCTATCACAATTTCAAGTTTCCCTCGTGCCATCCTCGAATCAAGGAAACATAAGGGCGTGGGCCCAAACGGGTTTGATCGCGACTGATCTGATCGGGGCGGATCTGATCGGGTTGCTTGTGATCGCAATGCCCGAGCCGCCCGATCAGTAATGTTTTTCTTAGAAGATTCTTCTTGGCTGCTCAGCAAGCAGGATTTAATTACCTGGTATTTTCGTGGCAATCTTAGCGAGACTGGCGACCAGACGGCTTCTGGCGAAACTCTCTGTATCCAAGTAATATAGTGTAACTTTCCAGGGTGTTCTGTATAGGCTGGACATGTTCGTGAGGGGTTGACGAGTCCCTGTAATACAGTGTAACTTTTCGTCAGTATCGCTGTGCTCCCCGATCACCCACGATCAATTGATCGTGGGTGATCGAAGAGAATCGACTATGATCGGGGGGAAATTGGGTCTGATCGAGTTGGGGCGATCAGCTGATCGCGATCAGCTGATTGCCCCTGATTGCCTGAAATTGGCCTCCAGGCTTCCTGGAAAGTATTGATCGCGGCAGATCGAGGCGATCGAACCCGTTTGGGCCCACGCTATAACTGAGGGTCTTGCTGACATGGACAAAGATGCACCTCCGCCAACTGATCCCTCGTGATGCTGATGTCAGCAGGAGTGACAGTGCCTCGTGGAATGTCCTTCTTGGCAGAACCAAAGAATGACATCAAAGATTCGATGGGCTACAGAAAGACGCCACGTAAACGACTGAAATCCACACGGATGAGAGAACTTTCGAATGAAATAGCGCGTCTCGCTGAAGGGATGTGTTATGTCAATCAAGTGTGTATATTTTTGTGTAGTTTTGGAATACATACATCATTTGTACCAACATGTAGACAATCAATTACTACGTGGATGCAATGTGATGTATAGTGTATTACGTAGACATTCTCTGTTAAACCCTCTCCTTAAATAAATATCCTCCTGGAATTATTATCGAAAATGTAATGATGTAAGGAAAATTCCTTTTCCTCACTTCGCATCCCTGCTCAACGCGTACATTACTGTAGCACCACAGTCAGCACCGTTACCACTCGCAACCCTCGCATCGACAATCCGCCCGCCACCTTCGCACATCGCACCCCGACCTCACGGCTCGGCGGGTAACCCGCGCTCCGGGCCTCCGCTTCGACACTTTTTCCCAACCTCAGTCCCAGGCCCGTCGCGCGACAACCACGGTCCATTACCGTTACCACTGTAGTTTCGCTATATATTCTTCGCTCATGCCTTCGCTCATTGTACTCTTGCTTCGATAGTGCAATTCTCGTTCGTTCACTCAATTGCACTCGTAACACTTGGTATTCAGAGCCTACGATCTCCTCTCGCACCGCACCCACACCTTCGCTTCCCCACTATCTCAATTTTTGGGGGGGGTAGACGTCTCTCAGCGACACACCACCGCCGCTCGTAGTGCTCTCTCGTAAGCACGCACGGCCACGACCGAGGCTCCCGCTGAGCTCGCCCGACACCCCCGCCATGGCCGAATTCACGCTCGCCACATTGACGCAGGAGCAGCTCGACCGTCTGGTGCGCCAACTTGAAGATTCGGCGCTCGAAATTGTGACGCTCACGGCGGAACGTGACTCCGGGCGTCAGCAATCAACGATGAACACTCCAGCGCCACCACACGCACCGACAAATGCATCTGCACAATCAGACGAGCCGATCGTCATCTCGTCCGGCACACCAACACAAAACAACAGCGTGGGACAGCGCTCAGGCGCAGCCAGCGATGGCGCCGCCCAGCCGATGCCTAGCATGGGAGGAAACAGGGTCGCACCAAGCCCGCGGGAGCATCGCGAAGCCCGTCGGCACGTGGAGTTCGCGGCGACAAGTGGCGAACAGACCATTATGGCACCAATGCCACTCAAGCCGCAACGCCCGCCCTGCTTCGACCCGAGCCAGCGTGGAGGTCCGACGGTTCAATCGTGGGTCTTCACGATGAACGTCTTCCTCGACGCTGTACCCTCCTTATTCGTCCGAGCCCGATCGATAGCATGAATCGGTACTGTGACTCAGTGAGGGTCAGTGGGGTTGGGCGAGCAGGCAGTCTCGTCAGTAGTTGGCCCGATTCCTAATGACTGCTGGCGTTTCCCTGCCTTGGAGACTCCCTCCCTTGCTCTGCTCCGCGGCGCCTCAGCTCCTCTGGGCATTCACTCTTGCGATGGCCCGGCCTATTGCAAGCAAAGCAGCGCCCCTTAAACGGCGCGGCAGCTGCATTCGTCGCAACGTCATGTACGGTGGCGTGCTCGATCGGTCCCCGAGGACGATGTCCGTAGTAGGACCCCGGTCTCGGACGGCGCAAAATGTCAATTTTCTCGGCGGGCGCGAGAATCTCGTTGAAGTTCGGGTCTCCTTCAAGATTTTTATCGACGGAGGAGCAAGCCACAGTTTAGTTAATACCGCAACCGCACGAAAACTGCAGCTGACACTTAGCCGTTGCTTACCGGAGATAGACGCACGCTTAGTCGACGGCACGCCACTGGCCATACGGGAAAAGGTAGAGAGAGTCAAAGTCCGTAGTAGGACCCCGGTCTCGGACGACGCAAAATGTCAATTTTCTCGGCGGGCGCGAGAATCTCGTTGAAGTTCGGGTCTCCTTCAAGATTTTTATCGACGGAGGAGCAAGCCACAGTTTAGTTAATACCGCAACCGCACGAAAACTGCAGCTGACACTTAGCCGTTGCTTACCGGAGATAGACGCACGCTTAGTCGACGGCACGCCACTGGCCATACGGGAAAAGGTAGAGAGAGTCAAAGTCCGCTGCGGGGGAAATTTCGGGTTTACACAGGAAATGCTCGCAACGACACTGGATGGGCACGATAATTTACTGGGACGTGATTGGCTGCGACGGTATAACCCACGAATTGACTGGACGACGGGTAGCTGCACCGTGCGAAGTAGTGGTAACTGGGTCGAGCTACCTCGCTGGCAGTCGCCCGAGTCTTCAACGGTACACGTCAACGCCATCACAATGAAACGGGCTGTCGCTGCTGGAGCTGACGTGTACGCAGTAGACATCGCAGTAGTAGAGGAAGCAGAGCAGCCGAGTGATTTCAAGAAACTGCTGGCAGCCGTACCGCCCGAATTACAGGAACTGTTGAAACGATACCCCGGGATTTTCCCCGACGACTTACCGGAAGGACTGCCACCTCAGCGAGCACATGACCACCGAATCGAATTAGAACCGGGGGCACAGCCAACCGTACAGCGCCAGTTCAGACTGACACAGCCCGAGCTCGACGAACTAAGGAAGCAGTTAGATTACCTGTTAGAGAAAAAATTCATCAGACCGAGCTCGTCACCGTTCGCCGCACCGATACTATTCACGCCAAAAAAAGACGGGGGTTTTCGCATGTGTATCGACTACAGAGCACTGAACAGGGTAACAGTCAAGTCGCGGTACCCCATTCCCCGCGCCGACGAACTGATCGACCAACTGCGAACAGCACGGGTTTTTTCGAAAATAGATTTACGGGGAGGTTACCATCATATTAGGGTCGAACCATCGGACTGCGCCAAAACAGCTTTCAGGACTAGGTACGGGTCATTCGAGTACACTGTGATGCCATTGGAGCTGACCAACGCACCGGCGACTTTTCAGATGACCATGAAAAAGGCATTTAGGCCGCTCTTAGATAAATGTGTAATAGTTTACCTCGACGACATTCTAGTGTACAGTCGGGATAAGCAGCAGCACTTAGCAGATCTGGAAGCAGTGTTTAAGGTTTTAGACGAGCACAGATTACTGACCAAGGGTTCCAAGTGCGAGTTCTTCCAGGATAGGTTAGAATTTTTGGGGCACGTTATTTCGGAGGATGGAGTTGAAATTGACCCAAAGAAGCTGGATACGGTAAAAGCGTGGCGTCCCCCGACGAACATCACTGAGCTGCAGAGCTTTTTAGGGTTCGTTAATTATGTGCGTCGGTTCGTCCCCGATATGGCACGGTTAACTGCCCCACTGACGGATTTACTGCGGAAGGGGGTCGCTTTTACGTGGGGGGAGAAAGAGCATGCTGCCTTCTCTGCCCTGAAAAATGTTATCTGTTCACCACCCGTCCTGCGCATCGCCGACCCACACCGCCCATTTGAAGTAGTTACCGACGCAAGCGATATCGCCATCGGAGCCGTACTGCAACAGGATTTCGGCAATGGCCTACAGCCTATCGCATACGAG